TACAGACCGAGCCTTAATGTACAGACCGAGCCTTAATGCACAGACCGAGCCTTAATGCACAGACCGAGCCTTAATGCACAGACCGAGCCTTAACGTACAGACCGAGCCTTAATGCACAGACAGAGCCTTAATGCACAGACCGAGCCTTAATGTACAGACCGAGCCTTAATGCACAGACCGAGCCTTAATGTACAGACCGAGCCTTAATGCACAGACCGAGCCTTAATGCACAGACCGAGCCTTAACGTACAGACCGAGCCTTAATGCACAGACCGAGCCTTAATGCACAGACCGAGCCTTAATGCACAGACCGAGCCTTAAGTAGAGACCGAGCCTTAATGCACAGACCGAGCCTTAATGTACAGACCGAGCCTTAATGTACAGACCGCGCCTTAATGCACAGACCGAGCCTTAATGTACAGACCGAGCCTTAATGAACAGACCGAGCCTTAATGCACAGACCGAGCCTTAATGCACAGACCGAGCCTTAATGCACAGACCGAGCCTTAACGTAGAGACCGAGCCTTAATGCACAGACCGAGCCTTAATGTACAGACCGAGCCTTAATGCACAGACCGAGCCTTAATGTACAGACTGAGCCTTAATGCACAGACCGAGCCTTAATGTACAGACCGAGCCTTAATGTACAGACCGACCCTTAATGTACAGACCGAGCCTTAATGCACAGACCGAGCCTTAATGCACAGACCGAGCCTTAACGTAGAGACCGAGCCTTAATGCACAGACCGAGCCTTAATGTACAGACCGAGCCTTAATGCACAGACCGAGCCTTAATGTACAGACCGAGCCTTAATGTACAGACCGAGCCTTAATGCACAGACCGAGCCTTAATGTACAGACCGAGCCTTAACGTACAGACCGAGCCTTAATGCACAGACCGAGCCTTAATGTACAGACCGAGCCTTAATGTACAGACCGAGCCTTAACGTACAGACCGAGCCTTAATGCACAGACCGAGCCTTAATGTACAGACCGAGCCTTAATGCACAGACAGAGCCTTAATGTACAGACCGAGCCTTAATGCACAGACCGAGCCTTAATGTACAGACCGAGCCTTAATGTACAGACCGAGCCTTAACGTACAGACCGAGCCTTAATGCACAGACCGAGCCTTAACGTACAGACCGAGCCTTAATGCACAGACCGAGCCTTAATGTACAGACCGAGCCTTAATGTACAGACCGAGCCTTAACGTACAGACCGAGCCTTAATGCACAGACCGAGCCTTAACGTACAGACCGAGCCTTAATGCACAGACCGAGCCTTAATGTACAGACCGAGCCTTAATGTACAGACCGAGCCTTAACGTACAGACCGAGCCTTAATGCACAGACCGAGCCTTAATGTACAGACCGAGCCTTAATGCACAGACCGAGCCTTAATGTACAGACCGAGCCTTAATGCACAGACCGAGCCTTAATGTACAGACCGAGCCTTAACGTACAGACCGAGCCTTAATGTACAGACCGAGCCTTAATGCACAGACCGAGCCTTAATGTACAGACCGAGCCTTAATGTACAGACCGAGCCTTAATGCACAGACCGAGCCTTAATGCACAGACCGAGCCTTAATGTACAGACCGAGCCTTAATGTACAGACCGCGGCCTTAATGCACAGACCGAGCCTTAATGCACAGACCGAGCCTTAATGTACAGACCGAGCCTTAATGTACAGACCGAGCCTTAATGCACAGACCGAGCCTTAATGCACAGACCGAGCCTTAATGTACAGACCGCGGCCTTAATGTACAGACCGAGCCTTAACGTACAGACCGAGCCTTAATGTACAGACCGAGCCTTAATGTACAGACCGAGCCTTAATGCACAGACCGAGCCTTAATGCACAGACAGAGCCTTAATGTACAGACCGAGCCTTAATGTACAGACCGAGCCTTAATGTACAGACCGAGCCTTAATGTACAGACCGAGCCTTAATGTACAGACCGAGCCTTAATGCACAGACCGAGCCTTAATGTACAGACCGAGCCTTAATGTACAGACCGAGCCTTAATGTACAGACCGAGCCTTAATGCACAGACCGAGCCTTAATGTACAGACCGAGCCTTAATGCACAGACCGAGCCTTAACGTACAGACCGAGCCTTAACGTACAGACCGAGCCTTAATGCACAGACCGAGCCTTAATGCACAGACCGAGCCTTAATGCACAGACCGAGCCTTAATGCACAGACCGAGCCTTAATGTACAGACCGAGCCTTAATGTACAGACCGAGCCTTAATGCACAGACCGAGCCTTAATGTACAGACCGAGCCTTAATGCACAGACCGAGCCTTAATGTACAGACCGAGCCTTAATGTACAGACCGAGCCTTAATGCACAGACCGAGCCTTAATGTACAGACCGAGCCTTAATGCACAGACCGAGCCTTAACGTACAGACCGAGCCTTAACGTACAGTGACCGAGCCTTAATGCACAGACCGAGCCTTAATGCACAGACCGAGCCTTAATGCACAGACCGAGCCTTAATGTACAGACCGAGCTGCCACTGCTTGGACTCAATACAACAACATCATCAGCGTACATTAGGTGATTTACAAGAGTTGAACCAATCATACAGCCAGTCCTACATGCATTCAACCATTGTGACAACTCATCCATATACAGACTAAACAACACTGGAGAAAGAATTCCACCTTGCCTTACTCCATTGGTAACGCCAAAGGGGGCTGAGACAGTACTACCCCCACCTCACCTGCATTATCTGGTGATACCAGTAGACTAGGATTCTCAGTATGTACTCAGGTACTCCTCGCTGACGCATTTTAGTAAATAGCTTTGGGTGATTAACCCGGTCAAATGCTTTGGAAGCATCAATGAAACATATCAACACAGAAGAGTTCTTATTCTTATATTTCCTGATTATTTCCTTTAGTGCAAATATACATAAGTCTGTGCCATGCTTTGACTTGAACCCAAATTGATTGTCAGCAGAGGAAATAATGTCTTGTATTCTACATAACAGTACCTTTTCTAAGACTTTTGATGTAATACTCGCTAAGGCGATGGGCCTAGTTGTCAACACTGCCCATTCTTCCTGCTTTGTCCTTTATGACTGGCACCAGGGTGACAGACAAAAGTGCATCAGGCAGGATACCATGTGTCAGACAGCTGGTAAAGCAAATGGCCAGAAGAGGGGATAGTCTAATGCTGGCGTGTTTTAAATGCTCAGCATATATACCATCAGCACCACAAGTTTTATTGTCAGGCATATTTTTAATTGCTTGGTACACATCATGTGCCATTATGCTCACACACTCGTGTTTTTCTATAGCCTCCACGTTTAGTTTTTCAGCAGGTAGACAATTGAACAGGGCAGTGTAATGCTGTTTCCAGCGCTCCAATACGTTTTCAGGACCAGAAATGCCATCCACAGTACAGGGTAGAGTTGTCCTATCACTGTTGAGAACTCGCAACTCCTTTCAGAAATCAATAACGTTGTTACTCAAGAGCTTCCCAGCTAAGGAATCTGATCTCATACATTCCTCATTTTTTTTAATAAACCTTATGGCATATTTATATCTAGCATTGGTGAGCTTCTTCTTTTGATACTCAGGACCCTGTCTAGGTCTTCCAGCCTGAGCCCACTCTTTAGTAGCTTCCCGGGCCTGCTCATAGTGCTCTGCTACATACCTATTCCAGCCAGGCCGCTTAGTATTTTTCTTATTTATCAGTTTACGAAAGGGGTACCACTTTTATCTAGAGAGCTTATAATTTCATCATAAAAAACACAAATGTCTCTACTATGATTAACATCCACACAGTTTGGATCAGTACATCTGATTGCATCCAAAGGTAAACTAATACTGCAGAGTAATTTGTCAGTCTGGATAAAATAGGACATAATGTCTTCCTTTGTGAGAGACGACCAGTCCAACTTCCCTTGATGTACAATTTTCTCATTTGTAAACAGTACTGGCAACTGTTCAACTTTAACAGAGAAATAAATAGGTATATGGTCACCTGTAACCTATCAAACAGTATTTCCATTGACCCAAGAGAAGCATGCGCATCAGATGTACTAATACAGTGGTCTAGCCACGAAGTAGTATGCCATGCCTCACTGATAAAGGTATAACTGTCACAATATGTAACGATGGTCTTCACAAAACTGAACCATACATTTACCAAACACAGTTACAATCTGATATGTCGGCATTCATGTCTCCTAGTACATAGATACTTGACGTAAGACAACTTTCAATAAAATAATATAAAAAAGCTAATTTGTTTAAATATTCATCCTCAAGGCTGGTGCTATGAGACTTGGGTGGCATCTCTGACTGCCACCCCCCTGACCCAGAAATGGATTAAAGGGTAGAAAATGGATGGATGGATGGATTCATCCTCATTCTGTCGGCATTCATAAGGGGTATATACATTTAAAATGACAAAATCCTTATTATCACATGTTAACTGAACACCAATACACCAATCCACACCAAGTGTGACAACTTTAATGTATTTATCAAGAGTTTTTCTCCATAGTATTGCTACACCTCCTGCTATTCTCCCTCGGACAATACCGCGGTCATAGTCTGTAGTGGACTCTCCAGCACCATGGAAGTAGTCATTAAAAGAGTTTAACTTCTGCAAATCTTGTTGCGCTAAAAATGTCTCTTGCAAACAGAGTACATCACATTTTAATAGCAGATTGTCAATAACCAAACGTCGAGCTTTATCCCCTGCGCTGTTCCCAAGCCGCAAACCACGACAAAACTTTCCTATTATTAAAGAATGAGAAGAGAATCTCTGCATCGATTTGTTTGTTTTATATATTTTACACACGCACAATAAATTTACAACTGAATAAGATAAAACACAATGGAGAAATGCACAATGTGGCCCACCCCCTCAGGTCAAGTCTGGACTCACTTTGGACCAGTTTGAAGACCACAGAGTCCGACCCACATCATATAAATGGCTTTTCTGTGTTGTAGATGTCAGCGCTCATGACGATATGAATAACTACATCAGCCAATACTACAGTGAGCCCAGCAGCGGTGAGTTAAACCTATATTTGTCCATGCGTTATTATACCCAGTGTCTCCAGGCACATGACGTTATCCACTCTCTGCAGACATGGGTATCCCAGACCCAGCCGCCAGAGTCATCACAGCCATAGACGTGCATCTGCCCACCAACCCCAGCCAGCTCCCCTCCACCCTGGTGAGCGCCGAGGCCATGAGCTCGGGCCGTCTCCAGACCACAGAGAGCTCCGTCAGCGAGGCCTCCAGCATAGACTGTAGCAGCACCGTGCGAGAAGCCTCCACGTCCACCGACTACCCACCGCCCTACAGCAGCCCCCTGGTGCGAGGCAGTCCCAGCGCCGTGGTGCAAGAACTGCTCTCCTCTCTCTCTGAACACTCCTGTTTGACTCAGAAAACCCTAGATCCGGTCAACCTCAAACGTCCCAGCCCAACGGGGTCCAACAAGAGCAGTCCTGAGCTGGAACACAGGCTCAACATCTACAACAAGAACCAGGAGAGAGCTCTGCACGGGAAAGCCCTGATCCAGCTGCAGAGCCACGAGCCGCTGGTGGACGAGAAGCACAGACTGATGGAGCCGCTGCACGCCTCGCTGAAGCGCCTCTCCAAGACATGACCCGCGCTGGGCTGAGCACGGAGCTTTTAGGGCATCCCGGAGCCCTCTGCTGCTCCAAACACACTTCTTTCAGGCAAATCTTCAGGAACAGACACTTTTAACCAAAACTCTGGCAGTATTAAGACTATTGGGGGAAAAAAAGATAAAAAGAAGTGATTTCTATTGAAGTTGCACAAACTGTAAAGATGCTTTTGGTACTTTGTAACAATTTAGATGATTTTATTCATGAGCTCTTTGTAACATACATTTGGTAATGTCTTGAACTTTACTGAATTTTATGGAAATTCTTATGACTTTGTTGCAGTGTTGGTGCACTTGTGCCATGGGGTGATTATGATGCTACAAACTACCTACCTGTATTATGACTTGAGCCATAAATCTCCACACGCTTGTTTCTGTTCCTCCGAGCTCCAGCTATCGACTCTTTAGACCAACACTAAAAGAATCTGACTGCTGCTGCAGACTGCAAACCTTTGAAAGCATGACTTCATCGTTTGTGCAAAACATCTTCATAAGACTGTACAGGGATTTCATACAAATGTGAATAAAGGAGAAGGAAACAGATGTTTCATAATGTATTAAATCACTTTATTGTTTGAGAAATCTAGAAAAAGGCTTCGAGTTAAGAATAAAACCAGGCTGTAAATTCAACAGAAATGACAGAATATTGTCCAGAGCTGAGGGAGGGGCTGTGATTTGAAGGCCATTTTAGTCCAGGCAAAACATAAATTAGCATTTCAACAAATGGTTTCTCCATTTTAACAATTAACATTTCATTTATATACAACTGCCTACATATTGTACAGATTGTACAGATGTGACGACACAGGAGTCACAGCCCTCTCAGCGCTCACTCTGCTGCTCACAGATTCCTCCATCACTTGTCCAAGGCCGCGGTCATCTCTGGGACGGCCTAAACACGACACAGTCTCAGTCACACTTCACAGAATGACTATTGTGTGATATATACTATATATATATATACTTTAACACTGTATATATTCAGTGTGTAGAGGTCGGGACATTCAACCCCTGATCTTTCTCACACTCATTAAACGTCCTTTAAAACGAGAGTTTTGAGCGGCACAGTTACCTTGAACAGATCCGCCACCAGGCCATAGTCGGCCACCTGAAAGATGGGCGCCTCTGGATCTTTATTGATGGCAACAATAGTCTTAAAGAAGAAAAACAATGATTTAATACAATGCTTGGAAGGAAACATGGTAGTGGTAGATTTCTTTGGTCATTATGGACATTAGATCTAAGGTAACATGTTTTCAAAGGTCTTCTACATTTATAATAAGAACTGAATGGTGTATATTAAGAATTTTAGTGGTAAATAATTCCTGACTGAGGAGTTTAGTCTTATCCTGCTTAACCCCTGTTACAACTGCCACAATATAATAATAATAAATCTGTTTTATATATCGCTTTTTTGGACAAGACGCTTCACATGTGTCATTATTCATTCACTCCAAACACAGATAGTGTGAACATTCGCTCATGTGACGCTCATGAAGGAGAGGATCTACTTCATCGATCCCGAAGGAAAGTACGTCTCTGCACTTAATCACAGTCACAGGGAGAAACATTCTATTTACCGTCTTATTTTAATGATTCTGTCTATTGTCTTAATGAGTGCTAATTTCCTGCTTTCTCTGCTGTAATGTGCAACGATGAACCTGAAATGTCTCCACTGTGGGAAGAATAAAGGAACTGCTGATTGCTAAAGTTGCTAAAATATTATAAAAACAGTTTAAAGCGTTAAAAGTTCATTAAATCACATGGCTCGGTCAAAGAGTTGTGCAGTGTAATTAAGCCAACATGCTTTGTGATCTAGCACAAAACTTGAACAGAATAATTGAGCATATTCAAAAGTGTTCTTTACTTCTCCATAATGTTTAACTTATACTAAATGCTTTAATAATTCTGGAGACCTTAAGGATACGTTTGATTGAAATATAAATATGAGTCGATTTAGCCTTTTGAGATGGAGATAATAACACAGTGTTCGTATTACCTTACTGTCCTTCATTCCTGCCAGATGCTGAATAGCTCCTGAAATACCAACAGCAATGTACAGCTCCTGCGAACGACAACCAACGTCACATCACTGCAGAGCTCTGTCGCCAAAGGTCAGCAAAGTTCTGGACAAATTTGATTCTAATGCGAGTGTCCTTCTCACTCAGCGGTTTGTGAGCTCCGTGTCTCTTCAATAAGCTACATTTCATGCAATGACAACTTGGATTGATGTGTGGAGATAAAAAGTGCAGCGTTTGCGTTCTATAATGGATATATTTTTACAGTGTAGTTCCAGCGAATGCCCAAAATAACAGTAGTTTATAAATAGATTCCGTACCGGTGCCACAATTTTGCCGGTTTGTCCGACTTGCATATCGTTCGGCACATATCCAGCATCCACGGCGGCTCTGGAGGCACCAACTGAAGAAAAGAAGAAATGATTTATTAGAAATTAAAATATTGATTTAAAACAGATCCGACGTTTGACAAACCTGCAGCGTTTAACTTGTCGGCAAGATCATAAAGCAGCTTAAAGTTGTCCCCACTCTTCAGTCCCCTTCCTGGAACGAGGAGAAAAGAGTTGCATTAAAATCATCAATGTTTTGTTTTTAAAAATGACTAATATATTATAAAAGTTGTACCTCCAGAGACGACCACTTTTGCGCTGGTGAGCTCTGGACGATCGCTTTTGGTCAGATTCTGCTCGAGCCACTCTGAAGCCCCCACAAGGGAAGAGGCAGCCACTAAAGCGGGAATAACATTTTACTGCAGGATCAACTTTGTTTGACACATGTATTTTTCCCCCTAAATATATTCATTTCAAAAGCTTTGATATTCCTATGATTAAAAAATAAAGAAAAAAGAAAAAAAAACTATTGAGCTTTCCCAACCTAATAGAAAAAATACGTATCTTTGTCGCCCTCTACTGGCCAAAGTGTAAACCTCCTATTTGATAAACAGCCCAGGCCATTAGACAGGTACAGTATGAACTATTTTTTACTGATGTACATTTGAGGTTTCGCACTAAATTCAACACATTTCACTGCAGTTTAACATTTTGTTAAAGGTCACTTCCAAAACACAATATCACACTCGTAACTGGCAAATAAAATAAAATGTCAGGCAAATAAGTGTGTACAAATTGTGCCTTGTGTTGTGATGTCATCGAAGAACTTCCTGTTTTCAATTTCTGTATTTTTCAACATTTACATTTTTTTCAGAAACTGGTGCAAAACTATATTTTCTATTCAACAAACTTATCCCACAAAATAATGTAAAAATGCCGTAATAACAACAGCTGTCAAAAGACCATTAGATTTTAGAGTTTGTAGATTTGATTATTTTAAACCTGCACAGCACCTATTTTTACATATATCAATATAACATACAAATAACAAGTACAAGGTTCATAAAGTTCATAAAGTTCATAAAGTTCATAAAGGGGGATTTTACCGGTTTCAGTGGACGCGCTGCCGCCTTCAACAGCTGCGGCTTCGAAGGACGTTCCCCTCACAGTGAACACCTTCACTGCCTCGTTGCACTTCACTGTACTTATAGCATTGCCTTCAAAAGACACCGCACACATTTAGAACTGAGGCAGCGTCGTCGAGCAGAAAGCCCTCTGCCTACACGACGTTCCATCATGTACAAAAACATAAAACACTTAAACACCTGCATAGATTGTTCTGACAAAAGTGTCTGGACTCTTGATCTCAATGATGTCAGACACTGGGGAGACGTCCAACTTGGCTGCAATTCTCGGGAGCAGATTCTGACAGAGACAGAGACAGATCTTGTTGTGAATAAATATAGCGGAAAACTAGATTCCATAAAATCACATTTGCAGAAGAAAGAATACCTTCCCAAAGGCAGATGCACCGGCACAAATGTGGGTGAAGTTAAACTGTTTTTGTGTAGCCAGAACGAGTGGAGTCATCTCCTCTGAAAACAAAACATACGTTGGTTCACTTTGATCCATGTCTGTGTTCAGGGCGGGAACTTTCAAACCATCAAATGTATTAAGTCTTTAATTAGATCCATCTAACGAGTTCCTTGCTCTTAAAACAGTACAGTTCTTTCACTAATTTTCACACGCCTCTGTCACTTTTCTGTCTAAAAGAAATCTGCTCTGATTTGACAAATAAATGATCCTTGCTCTGCTAAAGGCTGTTTTCTAATAAGAGGCATGTTGTGCCTTAACTATGAAAAAGTGAATTTGGCTCCAGAGCTTTCATGTTCTGTTGGAGGTGGCATACCTGCAAGGGCACCTTTGTAACAATCATTCTGAGCCACTAGAACCTTGTTTACTCCTTGGACCTTGCAGAGCTCCGCTGCAACCTAAAAAAACACAAGGGATACGGCTGAAAATGCATCTGAGTACAAGCCCTTGTGTGAAAAATCTTTTATTTCTTAATGATACCATGTTTTGTGATGTGTTATGTAAATAAAGAATGAATACCTTTGCACAGTCTGTTCCTGCGACGAGACAGGAAACATCTCCCCCGAGCTTACTGGCTGCTGTGATGGCGTTGAGGGTGATCGGTGTGAGTTTGTCGTTGTTGTGCTCCGCTACGACCAGAGTGCTCTGAAACCGGTGAGCAAGGCCCGTCTGCAGAGAACAGAGGTTATGTGGTTAATAAATTCGGGGCAGATTTGAAGTGGCTGAGGGATAAATCTTGTAAAAAACATTGCTCACTGTAATAGGGAATAATCTTATAAAGTAACTGTACTCGTGTTATAAAACAGGATATATATTTGGAGTCTGGGGGCTACATTAAAACCCTGTTGAAAGGTGCCCTCTGCTTGCATTGCCACAGCAGCAGGTTCTGTAACCTCTGTGCTCAGGTTAGGACCAGTCCCATCCAGACCTCACTGGGGGAGTTATGAAAGATCACTAAAACAAACAGAAGGGATTAAATCATTGTCATTAAGCCTTTGTCCACGTGTAAGAAACCTAAATTCAAGAAAATCCCGAAAAAAAATGAATGTTATAAAAGTAAATACCTGACGTTTGATAACCTTGTTATTGTTAGCCGCTGATGCTAACAACACTGTGCACGTGCTAATCCTCTCATGCAACATTGTTAATCTGGATTTAGGAATAAAACATGACAGTAATTTGCTGTTGATTCATCTTTAGCAGAACAGCATGACTTTAAGCTAGCACAGCGTTAGCACTTGTGTAACCAGTGCATCAGGGAGAGTTGCACAACATGTCAAATCTAGCTTTAAGTTAATCAAATAATAATAAAATACTGATCAGGAATCTGCGTCCTCCACGGAACCGTCTCTCACCAGGAGCCGCAGGTTCGGCCTCAGGGTTCTGATCATGATGCTCCTTCAGTCTGAGGTCTGGACTGTCTGAGGAAATGTCAGTCCCAGGCAAAGACTACAGCGAGACTACCGCGAGACTACCGCGAGACTACCGCGAGACTACCGCGAGAGGTGGACGAAGTCTCGCGAGATATAATAATGGTTGGATAACGTAAAAATAAAGAAAAGAAAAGTTAGCTTATTAAAAAATAGGACTAATAATAATAATGATGATGATGATGATGATGGTGATAATGAAAATGAAAAAAAAGACAAAAATAATACGAATTATAATATTTATTAAAACAACAATAATATTAATAATTATGATGATGATAATAATAATTTTAGTCTAATTATTTTATAATGGTAAAAATAATAATAACAACAACAATGATATTTATGAATAATAATAATAAAGACAATCATATTTATAAGATAAGATAACCTTAATTTATCTTAACTAAACATTGATCTCACAATGGAGAAATGCACATGATACATTATGTACAATATTATTGTACATAATGTACAAACTCTCGTTTGAATGAGTGTGTTATTATTAACAACAATTAGAACATTAGAAGTGACTATAGCAGTGCGAGTTGTTCACCATTAAAAGGTCTTATAGTGAAAGTGACTTGTTGTACAGTCTGACAGCAGTGGCGCTGTAAGGCTGTGCAGTCCTTCTTCCACTGAAGGAGCTCCTCAGCTGACGAAAACAATGAGGATGATAAAAATAATATTAATAGATTGTTTCAGCCATTGCTTCCAATCACATGCTAAATATTATTTTCCCCTTAAAAATATTTCTGCTCATGTGTGAAACCTCTTTTTCATTTTGTTGTAAATGGAGTAGTTATAAACATTTAATTATCAATTAGATAGGGTTAGTTTTGCCTAAGTTCACATCTCATAATATCCTGTGGCCGAGAGTTTACAGCAACTCTTTGAAATCCCACTGTCTGTGTGTCCAACGTGAAATGAGTGGCCAAAGAAAAATACATACATCAAATCATGTTAAAATAAATATAAAGTTAGTTTCAGTTTCAGTTGGACACTTTGAACATAAATACATAACTTAACATAACATAACTTCTTACATTTTGCATGACAGTCAAAGTGTTCATCAGTATTTACAGACATCTTGGTTTTTTGTGTTTATTCTTCTGCAACGTGCCTGACACAGATACTTCTCTTATTTATTCACGTAATCATTTTCAAAAATTACCAATAGGATGCGTGTTGCAGTAAAATTAAAGTAATTAAATAAACATCTAAAACGTATTTTCCCCGATACAACAACGTGTGTCATCCATGTTACCTTTTTATTTTTTAGAGATCTATAACTTTTCAACAGTCGAATATCTGTTACCTCAGACTGGCTCTTCTGAAACACTTTTTATTCTTTCCTGGGAGTTTGTCATTTTAACGCCTATAATCCATAATTTCAGAATAACCCTTTGAAACCGTGATGTAGAAGACAATAACGTAATTCTACTCTGAACTGATTCAGTAAAGAACGACACCAGAACCACAAAGTTCTGCGTAACTATGAAAACTGTTTATGGTTGATTTCAATCTGGTCCCAGAGTCACAGAGGGCAGTGACGTCACAGAGCGTCTCCTCCTCGTCCCCGTCACACAAACACAAGGTGAAGTCCCCACGCTGCGTCTGAAGGTCTGCGTCTGAGGTCTGCGTCTGAGGTCTGCGTCTGAGGTCTGCGTCTGAGGTCCGCGTCTGAAGGTCCGCGTCCACAGGAGGATTATATGCTGGACATTCTGCTCTTGACGTCCTGCTTGGATGACATGGGGGATTATCCGAACCGTAAGTAACAGGAATCTTTCGTGTTTGTTTTTTTTCCGACAAAACGCACGTGCGTAAAATGCCCAATTTGCGCACGGGACTGTCTACATTAGAAACTCAGGCTGTACTTTTTGTGACTGTCCTGAGGAAACTGTAGAGCATGTGTTTTTCACCTGTTCAGTCTCTCGTAAATGTTGGAGTGACATCAGAGCTTTCCTTAAACATTTGAGATATTCCTGATTTTGAATTGTCACATATTCTATTTGGTCAATAATTTAGAGGGAACTTCCCTATTAGCCAAATACCAAATTCATTGTAGCTAATGGAGAAAATCAAGCCCTTGTTTCAATCATTTTTTGAATGATTTCAGAATCTACTTTTCCTCGTTAGAACTGCTTAAATCTGCCACTGCAAAACAAATCTGTGCTTCTTTGTCTAAGTTCCTTATGCTATAGAAATGTCTGAATCCTACTCTTATGTGTCTGTTTAACCTGATGTGCCTCAATTGTACTATCCCCAAGTTAATGCACACATTGTTTTATTTTCTATGTTATGTCAGCTCTGCAAGAGTTTGAGTCAAAGATGAAAAAAATAAAAATACATTTGTCTACATTTAGTTTGGGATTACAGCCACATTTACACGGCAGTGGATTCATATTATTTGATATTTGAATCAAAGTGGATTCAAATACACTCCCTGTCAACTACACTGTCAAACATTTAATTACAGCGTGTTTTTAGAGTTAAAATAAAGTTTCTAATACTGAGAATAGCAGCGTGTAGTAATCAAACTCCTCATGCAGAAGAGTGTGTTCTGTAAATATGGTTCTGCTCCTCAGAGGGCTCGGTGTGTGTGGGCTGTGGGAGTCCCATCCTGGACCCGTACCTCCTGCGCGTGGCCCCGGACCTGGAGTGGCACGCCGCGTGCCTCACGTGCGCGCAGTGCGGTGTGCGCCTGGATGAGACGTGCACGTGCTTCGTACGGGACGGAAAAACTTACTGCAAAAGAGATTATGTTTGGTATGAAGGAAGAGCCCTGAGCATGTAGGACGTTCAGACATGACGTCTGGTGTTTCCAACAGGTTGTTTGGAACCAAATGTGCCACGTGCAGCATCGGCCTCGGCCGCAGAGAGCTGGTGATGAGGGCGCACGGCCGCGTCTTCCACACGGACTGTTTCCGCTGCGCATCCTGCAGCAGAGCGTTTGTTCCCGGGGACCAGGTCCTACTCCGGGGCGAGGAGCTGCTCTGCCGCCGGGACTACGAGATGGAGCGGATGGAGCACGGGAGTCTCGAGGCTCACGACAGAGCACTGGTCAAAAGGCCCTCAGGTCAGAGATATTATAACATTACTAATTATTACCATTACTATTTATATACTACTCTTACAGCAGAATAACTAGTACTAAATTAACCCTACCACACCTTTACTTTAGTTTATTATTTGCTCACGGTGAACAAGGTCAGGGTTCATCTATTCGGTCAAAACAACAATGGATCTGCTCCTATGATACAGATCCCAATGAAAACACTGGACTGTGTCCACAGAGCGACACACTTCTCTCCATCGCCATCACGCGCACGCACAGAAGTCCACGCGCGTGCGCACCGTGCTCAACGAGAGGCAGCTCCACACGCTGCGCACTTGCTATAACGCGAACCCGCGTCCAGACGCACTCATGAAGGAGCAGCTCGTGGAGATGACCGGCCTCAGCCCCAGAGTCATCCGTGTGTGGTTCCAGAACAAACGCTGCAAGGACAAGAAGAGAAGCCTGCAGCTGAAGGACGCGCGCCCGGTGAGATGCGTGTAGTCACCCGTAGGTCCCGGGCACCGAGGGGGCACGTAAACAAGACAGTTCAACCGGCTTGCTAAATTTACTCATGTCAATAAATTGTAACACATAAACTTGCACAACATTTCAGCCAACTACAGCTGAACACAGGCGTAAATATTATAGTTTACAAGTTTTAAAATCCCTACTTATTTGGATCCAAATTCAATTATTGCTCGAGTTTATTGTCTGTTAATTATCTATTAACTTAAATAGATCTAGTTTGAAGTGTGGGATCCTGAATGCTCTTATTTCTCCTGTAATGTTGCTGAAATTCCCACTGATGAATAGAGGTTCTGTGATCTCATGAGAACAGCAGCATCAGGAAACCGGGTCACAGATAAGACATCAGGCCTATGTTCAAACACTTCTCAATGCAATAAAAACATACAAAATGGAAAAACTAAAATTACATTGTGGCATGTGATAGACTGTTTTGCATACGGCTGTACATTTTTAGTAACCGTCTCCTGAATCGGGTAAATCCAGTTTGGTGACGCCATGCCATAATCATATGTGTGTTTTCTGCAGGGCCTGAGAGGCACTCTTCTCACTGCAGCGAGCCCAGTCCACAACGAGAGCTCAGAGGGAGAGCTGGTCGAGGTGCACCAGCCTGTGTGGAAATCTTTCGAGGTCACCCTTCAAAGAGCACTCGAGCCGCACATATTCCAGGTATAGTGCGGGTTCCTCCAGTTAAATGTAAGAGTGTTGACTTATGAACAGACTTTCTCACATGTTCTGTTTTCAGGTGTCGTTATCGGACTCTCAGAGCAGCTCTTCAGCCAGTGACGCCTCGCTGTCCTCAGACACCGGCAACAGTTTAGTCTTCAGCCCCGGAGACATGCTGCCGACATGAGACAAGCCGACCGCTCCAGTCGTACAAATATGCAACACAACAGACTTTGAGCAGAGACACAAAAGGAGCGGTTAACTCACTGACTGCCAGCTGTTTTTGATGATTTCACCAATTCTCAAAACCCACAGAATATTTTGTGCTATGACTGTGTTAACTATGAAACCAGATTCTGAAAGTCTGGATTGTCTACTTTCTTCTTCTATTTATCAATAGAATTTATGAAGCACAGTCTTTTTTTTTTTGGGGTGGACTCTGAAATTATCAAACAGGTTTTGTTGTGGTTCTTTTGAAAGACAAGTTCGATGTATAACCTTCAAAAGAACCACAACAAAACATTTCAACTCAAATGAAAATGAACCTTTTTGAATGATTGGACTTATTATTCTGACATTTGTTTAATTCCTTTATGCTTGTAAAATATATAGTGTATGACATTTCCTTCTTAAAGTTTCATTAAGACAGAGTTAGTTTTATGCCGGCCAATAGTTAATAAGTGGCGCAACATTTATCCTGTTTATTAGCCAAGGTCCAGAGACAATAATTTGCAGTTTTGAAATAAATCCAGTGTGTGAGAGAGAATGGTCGGCGGTGGTTGCCTCGCTTCTGTCAGCGTGTCCCAGGGCAGCTGTGGCTACAGTAGTTCGTCGCCGTATATGAAGTGAACGTGAAGTGTCCGAGTGTCCTAACAACGCTACATACAACTGCTGCTTTATCCTGGTTTGACCTGGTTTGACCTCATCGTGACAAAACCCAAGTCCTCATTTGTGTTTCTCCCTCACTGCAGTTAATGAAATGTCAAACTTACTTATGACAATTACAAGAAGAACGAATAAATCAACATTTATTAAGTGCTGTCAAACAAACCAGAACACGGCTTTATTAATGATATACATTTAAGTATTTTTCAAACGTTCACATCCAAGAAACTGGCACGAAATCATTCACTTCTGACTGCAGTCTGCACACGTTTCAAACTTAAATATTACCTGTAAAGAGCCTGTACCCAACTTCTATGCACTTTAAAGTAGTCAACAAACAGAATGTGTCCTTTTATTTTAGCTATGTACAACAGTCAGTGATCTAACAAAGGCTAGCTACATTACTGGCCTTCTTTGGGATTTTCGGGCAATAAAACACACATGAGCAATATTTGACGTAACAGACATTTTACCAACATATCTGAACAAAGTAGCTTAAATTCATTGAACATATTGGACACAGGCTCTGTAGCTATAAACACAAGGCATTAACAGTATAAAGGACAATATAACAAGGATAATTATTTGTGCAAAGGCAAAACTTGAACCAAAATGTCTGCCGAGGAGACGCAGTGGCAGTAGTAGTGTGTTTTTAGGATTGCTAATTCTGCAGAAAGAACTTGAGTGCAGAGTCCCATTGGTCTCTGGGAAATCGAAGAGACAGCTCTCTGTAGTCTGGCATCGGAGAAACTGAAAAGAAGAACACAGCGGACTTCAAACACCCGCTTTGCTAACGCTAACCGCAGCAAAAGAACGGTTTCATCTGTGGGACATCACTCACCCGTCTGCTTGGTCTTACTGTCGCACTCTTTCTCAATGGAAGCACAGTCCTAGAACACAGCGTCGAGTCAAAACGGAGAGGATTTGTTCAGATAAAGCTGGACTTGTGGAAAATCCTCGCTTATTTTGGTTCTTTCACTATTTGCATTTGCTGTTGTGTTGTTGCACTTTATTCCTGTTGTCAGTAACTTTTAGCATTACAGTATGTATTTGTTTGTATGGATGGATGGATGTTCTCCTACGGCCGTACAATAAAGTATATCTGCATCGAGTCTTCACTGTAGTGTATATTCTAACACTAGGAAACACGCCATTTTGTACTTTATCACTGCTATGATCACTTTTACATTTTTATTGTACAGAATATCTTGCACAAAATAGACTATTTTAAGTGTGACATGTATATTTCTCCATTGTGAGAACTTAAGTCAGATTTTATGCTTATGGCTTCTTCATTCTTCTAAAGTTGGAGATTTAGATTTGCTTCCTTATGATGCTAAAGATATCTAGAGATTTTATACCTCCTTCTTTATTATGCTTTTATCCTGTGTCGGACGTCTTCATCTACACGTTTACAGGTGTGTGACCACTGCAGGGACGTTTCTTACCTGTATGAAAGTAGCCAGCAGCACACAGCTCAACTCCTGCTGCAGGATGACCTTGTTGTGGAGGTTGTTGTAGGTGGCAGAGATCAGAGAGGGGAAGAGCACGCGGATCAGGCCGGGGTGACTGAAGTACTGGAAAGGCAGCAGACAGAGCTTCTGCAGGACGCTGGGCTGCCGACCCGACTGCATGATGCCCTACAAGCACACACAGTAAATATCAAATATGTTTCAGCAGATGCAGCACTTTTTGTCGGATAAATATCAGTTGAGAGAGTTTCGAGAGAGATCAGAGAGAGAGAGATCGAGAGAGATCGACCAAAGAGACCAAAGAGACCAGAGAGAGAGACCAAAGAGACCAAAGAGACCAAAGAGACCAAAGAGACCAAAGAGACCAAAGAGACCAGAGAGAGACCTGTGAGCTGGGAACGGTCTGCTCTGGAGGTTCTTTATGAATCCAGAATAATCAATGACTCTTCTGGCCCTTGGAAAAGCCATGTTCCAGCTTCTTCCCTCTGTGAGAAGATATTGTTTGCCGAGATCCAGGACATCTTATTTTGCTAACAGCTTCTTTCCACAAGCTGTTTTCAGTCTGAACAAAGCACTTTAATAATCTTGTATTGAAACTGTTTTTGATGATCGATTTCACAGTGACGATGGATTCCTGTACTTTCCTGTATTACTAGAAGAATTTGGTCATATATTGTTGTAAAATCAAAACTAAACACACATTTTTGGTTTGTTGGATAAAAATGATTGAATAAAGCCATCGTGTTTTGCCAACTTTCTGTACACGTTGCGTGCATGAGGCAAATGCTTAAGAAAATTGCTTTCCTAACATTTCCACAATGTCAAATAACTTGCAGATTTAAATGGCACACAGGAATTAGCAGGATTGACTTGTCAACGGTTCCAAACAAAAGTTTTAAGGTCAGACAGGTCAGAGATCCTGAATCTCATCACCTTAAATGATTCACCAGTGAGTACAGTGATCCAGAGCTTAGGGCTTACGTGTCTCTGCACGTTTAACCTCGGCTCATCTCCGAGGAACTCACTCTGAGCTGCCACTGGTGTGTTGTGTCGGGAGAGGACAATGCGAACACAGATAAGTTGTGCTCCTGCTCGCTTTGGCTCCCTGCTCACTGACAGTCAACAGTCTTCACCAGTCTTCACCAGTCTTCAACAGTCTTCAACAGTCTTCAACAGTCTTCACCAGTCTTCACCAGTCTTCACCAGTCTTCACCAGTCTTCACCAGTCTTCACCAGTCTTCACCAGTCTTCACCAGTCTTCACCAGTCTTCACCAGTCTTCACCAGTCTTCACCAGTCTTCACCAGTCTTCAACAGTCTTCAACAGTCTTCAACAGTCTTCAACAGTCTTCAACAGTCTTCAACAGTCTTCAACAGTCTTCAACAGTCTTCAACAGTCTTCAACAGTCTTCAACAGTCTTCAACAGTCTTCAACAGTCTTCAACAGTCTTCAATTATTAAACGGTGTTTCCGCATCGGCGAACACACTCAAAGCAGTTGCATAAGGTCACGGAGCATGACAACGCATATTTTCACAAGCACAGAGTCCCCCATTGTTTGAGTTCTGGTGAAGTCTGGTGTGGGTCCTGTTTTGGCTGTTTACAGTATTTTCAGTCTGCTCGCTCAGTCCGCTAATGTCCCCGTGACCACTTTGCTGCTCTCTGATTGGTTGTCGCACGAATGTCCCAAGGAAAGGATGAGCAGAATCCATCTCCTGTGGCCGTTGATTTTCCGCTCCTGCTCCTCCCCTTTGACTTTCCCGCCAAGTCCGAGCGTGTCTACTGAACAGTTCGTGCGTGCCGAGAGGTCCGTGCGTTGTGACGCTTGAACGCTCGTCACCATAGACTTTGCATTGAAACCCGACACAGCATGATCCGATCTGAAAGCACCATTAGGTTTTCACCTGGAACACAGTCGCTGTAGGAACGGGGGTAGCAACACATCCAACTATAGTGTTTTACTGCTGCATTGTCTCTGTATAAACGGGGCCTAAAAATCCCTGTATGAAACTGATGCATCGGTCTGGTCTACGCTCCGGTCTTACGCTCCGGTCTTACGCTCCGGTCTTACGCTCCGGTCTTACGCTCCGGTCTTACGCTCCGGTCTTACGCTCCGGTCTTACGCTCCGGTCTTACGCTCCGGTCTTACGCTCCGGTCTTACGCTCCGGTCTTACGCTCCGGTCTTACGCTCCGGTCTTACGCTCCGGTCTTACGCTCCGGTCTTACGCTCCGGTCTTACGCTCCGGTCTTACGCTCCGGTCTTACGCTCCGGTCTTACGCTCCGGTCTTACGCTCCGGTCTTACGCTCCGGTCTACCCTCCGGTCTACGCTCCGGTCTACGCTCCGGTCTACGCTCCGGTCTACGCTCCGGTCTACGCTCTGGTCTACGCTCTGGTCTACGCTCTGGTCTACGCTCTGGTCTACGCTCTGGTCTACGCTCTGCACCTGGTTGTCGGGATGATTGACGGTGAAGTATCCCACGCAGATGATGACCTCGTGCAGCAGCGACTGGGACGAGTGCTGACTGCAGTACCACAGCAGGGAGCTGACCACGTGTCGGAACGCCAGAGACAAGCCCTCAGCGCCTAGAACAGACTGAGGAGATTCCCGTTGAGAAAGAGGTTTACATACAAAGTTTACATACAACGTCATGATTGAGAACAGAAAATAATATAAATGATAATACACATATTTTATCTTTAGTTGTTTAAATAATTAACCTTTAGGCGCCAAAGAAGCAGAATTGCAGCAGGAGCCAGGACACTTTCATAGTCTCCCTACATTTTATTGCATCTTAATTTCTTTACTGATTTTAAATTATTGATTTGAGCAGTCCTTCACCTCTTTTAAAGTTTCAGAGCTCCAGCTTTTGTCTGTGCACATAACGTTTCTGAATAAGCTCTGGTTCCTATAGGGTAAAGTGGTCAGTGGCTCCTTGCCGATACAAGAGGGCAGTGATGATCCAGGACATTTATAGACATCAGCCATCCTGCTCCCTATGGATTTCTATGTGTTGTTATTTATGCATTTTCTGACCTGTTGGAGGAATTTATAAAGTTGTTTATTCACCAACAAGACGACTGCGGTGTGATTTAGGCCTATACACAAATAAATGGAATTGAATTGACTATTTAAACGGGGGACTTGCGCAATCCATTGTGCCTGAAAGTAAACTACTGTAGAATAATCTATGCACAACAGTCACGGTTCATTCTTGCCCTTGCTAGTTCTACTTCTGGGTACTTACTTGGAAGGCTGGCAGATCGAGGAGAGCAAAGCTGTTGAGGAAGCGGATGCCATTCAAGGCCACCTGGATGACCCCAGAGCTGTAGGGCTCCTGGCAGTGGGAAGAAGACTCCGGGAAAGCGTGCAGGAGGATTGAGTAGAGGGTGTGGACCACGCCCACCAGGTCAGTCCTCTGCAGCAGACTGCTCAGACCAGTCGGGTCCTGACGCTTGTTGTCAAAGATACTGGGAGCACTGAAAAGCCAAATATACATATAAGTGACAGAAATTGGGCAGTAGATGTAGTAAATACTGTTTTGAAAATGTGACAGTCAACCACAGCAGCAGCTCACATGAACCACTCACCGTCCCGTCACCACGTAGCACAGTCTACAGATGTTGTGGAGCAGCGCGGACGCCTCTCGAAGGAACGAGGACATTTTAGGACAATCGTCGACGGGACTTTGGATCGACAAAAAGACGCCGTACAGTTTGTCCACTAAACCCACATTGACAACGTAGCTGGAACACGACAGAGAGTTAGAAACGCAACAACACTGGTTAGAAAATAGAGTCACTTTAATGTAAGTAAGTAGTAAGTATATTTATTTATGTAGCGCCTTTCTCAGACCAGAGTCAAAGCAGTTTACAACTGTGGGCATTAGTCTGTCACTCCACAGAGATGGGAGGGGCCAGTACAGGAGGCACAGACCTATTGTACATGTTTTTAGTGGCAGGGGAAACCGGAGTAGACACGGGGAGAACATGCAAACTCCACTCAGAAAGGCCCTGTTCCGACCAGGATTCGAACCCAAGACCTTCTTGCTGAGAAGCGAGAGTGCTAACCACTCAGCCCCAGTGCCGCCCGAGAAGTACGGACACTTGAGCTCCATCCTCTCCTCTTTCTACTTTAACCCCCATCATTAGATTCAAGAATGTATTTGCCATTTGCAGTAAAACCACATTGGAAAAACTGTGCAAGACTCCCCGGTGTGCACCAGACAGAGAAGACGGCGCCATGTTTTGGGTTAGAACCGTTTGATTCTCTGATGTGTGTTGACGAATTCGACGCAAAGTCCTCAGAGATAAGTCCAGTTGAAAGTACCTGATGAGGTCCTGGGTGCGGGTGAAGAACGGATCCGGAGCAGAGCCTTTCATCTTGGCGTCCGGGGAGGAAATTCTCTCTCCGCTGTCATTTAGAGGTGGCCATAGAGACGAGAGGATGGAAGAAAGAGTTTGCAGAAGGCCTGTGGTCAACCCCTCAAAGACCAGTTTGTTCACGCTGCGCCCAAATATGGACTTATCCTCATCGGGGACATAGAGCTACACACACAGAAGGAAAACGTTAGAATTAATAATCACAGTATTTAATTACTTTAGAAATAATTTGATTTAGAAGTGAAGGGAAGAGGGGCGTTAATGGTACCGAGAGCTGGTGTTCATGGTACCGTGCGCTGGTGTTCATGGTACCGTGCGCTGGCGTTTATGGTACAGTGCGCTGGCGTTTATGGTACCGTGCGCTGGCGTTTATGGTACCGTGCGCTGGTGTTCATGGTACCGTGCGCTGGCATGTATGGTACCGTGCGCTGGCATGTATGGTACAGTGGGCTGGCTTGTATGGTACAGTGCGCTGGCGTGTATGGTACCGTGCGCTGGCTTGTATGGTACCGTGCGCTGGCGTTTATGGTACAGTGCGCTGGCATGTATGGTACCGTGCGCTGGCATGTATGGTACAGTGCGCTGGCATGTATGGTACAGTGCACTGGCGTGTATGGTACCGTGCGCTGGCATGTATGGTACCGTGCGCTGGCGTTTATGGTACCGTGCGCTGGCGTTTATGGTACCGTGCTCTGGCATGTATGGTACCGTGCGCTGGCATGTATGGTACCGTGCGCTGGCGTTTATGGTACCGTGCGCTGGCATGTATGGTACCGTGCGCTGGCATGTATGGTACAGTGCGCTGGCGTTTATGGTACCGTGCTCTGGCGTGTATGGTACAGTGCGCTGGCGTGTATGGTACCGTGCGCTGGCGTTTATGGTACCGTGCGCTGGCATGTATGGTACCGTGTGCGCTGGCGTTTATGGTACCGTGCGCTGACGTTTATGGTACCGTGCGCTGGCATGTATGGTACCGTGCGCTGGCATGTATGGTACCGTGCTCTGGCATGTATGGTACCGTGCTCTGGCATGTATGGTACCGTGCGCTGGCATGTATGGTACAGTGCGCTGGCGTGTATGGTACCGTGCGCTGGCGTTTATGGTACCGTGCTCTGGCATGTATGGTACAGTGCGCTGGCGTGTATGGTACCGTGCGCTGGCATGTATGGTACCGTGCGCTGGTGTTCATGGTATTGTGCGCTGGTGTTCATGGTACCGTGCGCTGGCGTGTATGGTACCGTGCGCTGGCGTGTATGGTACCGTGCGCTGGCATGTATGGTACCGTGCGCTGGTGTTCATGGTATTGTGCGCTGGTGTTCATGGTATTGTGCGCTGGCGTTCATGGTACCGCGCACTGGCGTGTATGGTACCGCGCGCTGGTGTTCATGGTATTGTGCGCTGGTGTTCATGGTATTGTGCGCTGGCGTTCATGGTACCGTGAGCTGGTGCAGGAGCAGGTCCATGAGGAGGGCGATCTTGTTGCTGAACAGGACATAGGAGCAGTTGGAGGCACAGGAGGCACAGGACAGGAAGAAGGTGTTCACAGCAGCACACAGAGACCTGAGGACAGGAAGAAGGTGTTCACAGCAGCACACAGAGACCTGAGGACAGGAAGAAGGTGTTCACAGCAGCACACAGAGACCTGAGGACAGGAAGAAGGTGTTCACAGCAGCACACAGAGACCTGAGGACATGAAGAAGGTGTTCACAGCAGCACACAGAGACCTGAGGACATGAAGAAGGTGTTCACAGCAGCACACAGAGACCTGAGGACAGGAAGAAGGTGTTCACAGCAGCACACAGAGACCTGAGGACATGAAGAAGGTGTTCACAGCAGCACACAGAGACCTGAGGACATGAAGAAGGTGTTCACAGCAGCACACAGAGACCTGAGGACAGGAAGAAGGTGTTCACAGCAGCACACAGAGACCTGAGGACAGGAAGAAGGTGTTCACAGCAGCACACAGAGACCTGAGGACATGAAGAAGGTGTTCACAGCAGCACACAGAGACCTGAGGACATGAAGAAGGTGTTCACAGCAGCACACAGAGACCTGAGGACAGGAAGAAGGTGTTCACAGCAGCACACAGAGACCTGAGGACAGGAAGAAGGTGTTCACAGCAGCACACAGAGACCTGAGGACATGAAGAAGGTGTTCACAGCAGCACACAGAGACCTGAGGACAGGAAGAAGGTGTTCACAGCAGCACACAGAGACCTGAGGACAGGAAGAAGGTGTTCACAGCAGCACACAGAGACCTGAGGACATGAAGAAGGTGTTCACAGCAGCACACAGAGACCTGAGGACATGAAGAAGGTGTTCACAGCAGCACACAGAGACCTGAGGACATGAAGAAGGTGTTCACAGCAGCACACAGAGACCTGAGGACATGAAGAAGGTGTTCACAGCAGCACACAGAGACCTGAGGACAGGAAGAAGGTGTTCACAGCAGCACACAGAGACCTGAGGACAGGAAGAAGGTGTTCACAGCAGCACACAGAGACCTGAGGACAGGAAGAAGGTGTTCACAGCAGCACACAGAGACCTGAGGACATGAAGAAGGTGTTCACAGCAGCACACAGAGACCTGAGGACAGGAAGAAGGTGTTCACAGCAGCACACAGAGACCTGAGGACATGAAGAAGGTGTTCACAGCAGCACACAGAGACCTGAGGACATGAAGAAGGTGTTCACAGCAGCACACAGAGACCTGAGGACAGGAAGAAGGTGTTCACAGCAGCACACAGAGACCTGAGGACACAACATTATTATATCAACACGCCACGATCATCTTAGGCCCAGTGGAAGAAATACAACTGCACTTTTCTCGCAGCAGAATATACAGTATTTTATAATTACTTCTTTTTTGCTAAAGCTAGAGATTTTATACTAGCTTCTTTATTATGCTAAAGCTAGAGATTTTATACTAGCTTCTTTATTATGCTAAAGCTAGAGATTTTATACTAGCTTCTTTATTATGCTAAAGCTAGAGATTTTATACTAGCTTCTTTATTATGCTAAAGCTAGAGATTTTATACTAGCTTCTTTATTATGCTAAAGCTAGAGATTTTATACTAGCTTCTTTATTATGCTAAAGCTACAGATTTTATACTAGCTTCTTTATTATGCTAAAGCTAGAGATTTTATACTAGCTTCTTTATTATGCTAAAGCTACAGATTTTATACTAGCTTCTTTATTATGCTAAAGCTACAGATTCGATTTGATTTTAGTATAGACCACACTTTCCTTTGTCCATTTTTTTACTTTTTTACTTGCACTTAAGGCGCCTAAGAAATAAAATGTATCATCATCAGACATGCATTTATCTTGCACTGAAATTTCCCACTCTCCATCTTAATCTTAAATCAACAGTTTACAGACACTTATACAGAACATATATTGCCTTTTGTCCATCATGGCTTTTCATAGGCACAGCTGGGGCCTGAGGGAGACTGAGAAGCAACTGATATGACTTGAGCATCCAACCCTGGCCCCTCCTCACAAAGGCCACGGGGATAAAATAGACCAGTGTCAAACGATCCAAAAAGGACCCGACCTAAGTAACCCGATGAAGATGGATGAGAAGGCATTTCTTTAGCACGTTTTGTATAATACATAAAGATATTGTAACACAGCAGATTTGTAATGACTGCACCCACACACTTCTGTTGGTATTTCTTTCACCTAATTGTCCTGATGAGGCCGACACCTGAGCTACTCCTCTCACCACCTCTGTGCTTTTCACAGATTCACCGGGGAAAATCATTTTTTTCAAAAGCGCCATGTTCACCCGTCTCACGTTGCACAAAAGTCTGAAGTGACTGATGCTTGCCAATAGAGACTTTCCCGATTCTATGCTAATTATGTGTCATTACAACACACAGGCTTAACTGAATACATCCCTACAGTAACCACACATTTCTGCCACTGGCAAACTGCTCGGTCTGATCTTTTTCAGCTAATTTATCACATGACACTATTGTGCTATTGCTGTATAGTGTTTCTATTGCCTACAGTAGATTCAATGGCCATTTCCTCGGCCACGTGAGTCCAAAAAGTGGTGGGTGGAGGCAGCTTCAGCCACTTCCCCTCATCCCTAGCGCCAGTGATCTACAGTAAGTAATCTTTATTTATATAGCGCCTTTCACAGACCATACTCACAAAGCGCTTTACACATTTTTTCCCTCACTCCACACAGAGATGGGAGCGGGATCGCCAATAAAGGAGGTGCATGTCAGACCTATTGTACAGGTTTTTTAGTGGTAGGGGAAACCGGAGCACCTGGAGGAAACCTACACAGACACAGGGAGAACATGCAAACTCCACACAGAAAGGGCTGGAGGTGGAATCGAACCCAGGTCCTTCTTGCAGTGAGACACAAGCCACCCATCATCTCTGCATGGGTGGTCGGGTGTCAATGATAAATCTCTTCTATAAACAATAAAACAATGATTGCTACAGCACCTCGGCAAACTGCAGCATAAAGGAAAAGCTTAAATAATGTCCAGCAATAACATGTGTTTTTGTATAGTTGTAGTTTTAACTTTCTAACCCGATCCTGACTGAAGCAGGTCATGGCCGGACCACAGCCCCTGCAGCTTAAACAGGCTAAATGTGTGTGCAAGGGAGGAAATGCAACCTGCGCCAAAATAAAAAGGTAAACCCATGTCCTTGTGCCATCAAACAATCCCTTCATTCAGAGTTAGTCAAGTGACATTTCATTTGATTCTGCCATTGATCTCTGCAATACCCTGTAAGTGTGCAGGACGTGCAGACACACGGGAGGCCAGTGAGAGAGAAGAAATGTGACACGGCAGCGGAACACAAATGGCAAAAAAACATCCTGAAATCAAACCAAACGAGCCACTCACATTCAAAAGATACTCCTGGTCATGTGACAAGGCTGCAAATGCTCTACTCCACTGACAATAATGTGAATTAAAACAACCACATATTCTCTGGATACATCAAAATCATATGATCACCCATTGTGTAGTTCATAGGAACCAGGTCTGAGAATTAGTCGTTAGCTACTTCAGTCCGTAGACTGTAAATATTAACGGACGTAGTTACGCCTATCTCCGCCGTTCTAACTAATGTGCCACAACTTCCGCGGTCTGTGGGCAGTTTCAAAATGGCCGCGGGGGCTGGAAAATGTGAAAAAACACATCTGTGCATGCGTCAGCTGCACGAGCCCCATTCATTTAAACGAGAGACTTCTAAAGTCCACAGCGACTAAACTAGACTGGTCCAGAACACTCAGCATTGACACACATGTGGAACGGAGCTTTGGGCCAAGAGCCGACTTTTGGTCCATCCTGTAAAGACGTTTGAGAGGTCAGCGAATGCTATATGTTAGCATTGGATAATTCTTATTCCGGGTCCACCCCCACAGGCCCGGGGTGGTACTGCAGCATGTCAGAGCACGTCATTTTGGCCACTTTTGAGCCGGGACACGCCCACACTGGTTCAGTCCCCATCAAATAAACATAGAATTAAAACATAAATATTGTTTGTTCTGTTCCAACTTAATTTGTTTACACAGAATTCTGTGTTTTCAATATTGAGGTAGAAACCAGTGTTGATAAAACCTGCAAATTACGTTTTGTAATGGATTGATTTTCTACACTGATAGGATGTTTTGAGGGTTAGCCGCAGCTCGCTAGTGCTGTAAAAAGGCTCAAGCTTAAACTATGAAGTGAAAGAGCCAAAATAATAACCACCACCACACAACATTGGGAAATTGTCTCAACAGTGGAATGAAAACAAGATGGAACAGGACTCCCGAGGAAGTCCCCGACAGCATCATTCAGATTACTGAGGAACTCTGCAGAAGCTCCAGTGCAGCTCTTCAAGTAGTAAAAGATCAGATTTTAAACCAGAAGTGCAGCGCTAATACGTTTGCTGCGAGTTGTGAAAAGAGCAAAGAAACTTATGGTTGTGAATCATTTTGATGTCAGGAATGATCGAGAATGTGATTCAAACGTTGACTTCTGCTCATTGTTAAAAAGACGAAAAAGAAAATCCAGTTACAAAACCGGAATATATCAAATAGAGGAAGAAGAGAGACATTTAATTATCTAAAACTCACTTGACAGGAATACGGGGGACTGCGTTGGGAGTGGACGCAGCACTGAAGACCTGCAGGATCTGCGCCAGCGCCGCCAGACCCCCGCTCACCTGGAAAGCCACTTGGTCCGCGTTGTTCTGTGGAATAAACACATGGTTTTTGCACGTTCTGAATATTGACTTAAAATAGATATTAGCACAATATCATACAAAGACACTGTGCGGCGAGATTAGCGTTACTTGTGTGCTTATAATACATATATTTTATGTATAATAAGAATATGCACAGTTACTTTTCGCCTCCTGTGGCCAAGATTACAGCTCTAAATATAAACGCTGAAGATGGGGCAAAGAATTCAAAATAATTTCTCAATATAAATATAACATATGTACAAATATATGGCATTCTGTACCTGTACAACTTAAAGAATGTTATATTTAAACCAGTAAGTAAAAAAAAGTCATCTGAAGCTGTACTGCATTGCTTATTTGTCTAATGCCGAGCGTACATCGGACTGGCAACTGATTATATCCGTCGCATATGAGTTACTGCCCCGCACACATCGACAATCTGGTGAAAACGGGCAACTCCTGTATCAGGTCAGTCTGGGGAATAACAGCAACTGGCCTCAACTACAGTGTGTTTTCTGACATAAACTGTAGAGGGCGCTATACACGCAATACACACACGTTGGAGCGCGCACATCGGGTGATATCTCCGGATCTGGGGACAACTAGTTGCCGAAAAGTAGAACACGGGCAACTGACTGAATACGAGATCGACAGTTTATCTCCAGTTGTAAGAGCGCTCACATCGACTGATTTCAACTGATCATCTCCATCATCTCCATCATCTCCATCATCTACTCTGTCGCCAAAAGCCGCCTTCAACTAGTGGTCTCCCGTTACTCTGTCGATGTACGCTAGGCTTAAGAGGCTAATGCACATTGGGAAAGGGTATATACAAGTTTTCTGTCTGTTATATTAGATAAGATAAACTTTATTGTGCCAAGGGGAATTTGCAGAGGGATACAGTGCTACACAAATCTATGTAAAAATAAGTATAGTGCAGGTTTGAGAGAAAAAAACAAACAAAAAAACCTTTAATTTTAATTAAATAGTTTAATCCACTCTCGTCAATCGCACGTGGCTAAGAATATGAAACATGAACCCTTTTCAAGATCTTTTCATAGCAGATTATCAGAGGGTATTAAAATGACTGCAGGCCTGCTCGGTCCCGACAGTCTACACAGCACTTCTCTGCCCCGCTGACAGATCTCCTCCTGTGATGACTGAACAATAACTGCTCATCCTGTGTCTAGGTGGTCTACGGATGAACATAGGACATGCAACTTAAAAAACAAAAAGGTCAAGAAGGCCTTTTACTGCAGAATGCAAAGAGAAGAGTATAGTTGGAAGAAGCAGGGAGAACACAATCTTAACAACTGATCTAGGTTTTTGTGATGCTAAAAACATTGCTTTCTATTAAGACATTTATTTGAGGAGCACAAGATGAAATTGTCTTCTTAGTGCACACCGTCTGGAAATCCATTTGGTAACAAGGAAGAATAAAGGTTCTGTCGTGCCGAGGAGCTCCACGTGCTCAAACAAAACACATTCAGTCTGCTCCTCATTAACCAATAAGGGAAGGCCGGTGGTTAGAGTAAGCGATAGTCTGCACTCAACCACAGCATCAGGAGTTCTGGCAAGTATGTGAGGGAGACCCCTACGCAGACTGGCAGAGAGCGTCAAATACTGTGGAAATATATTTATAATGTCATGATTTTTATATGTGTTTGATGAATTAACTCAATTAAACACTTGCATGAGTCTGTGGAAATTGAAAGTTAAAACACTAATGATACAATATATTCTGCAATAGGTCCTCTAGATTATAATAATAATAATAATGCATCGGTTTTATATAGCGCTTTTCTGGACACTCAAAGACGCTTCACATGTGTCATTATTCATTCACTCCATACACGGTGGTGATAAACTACTGCTGTAGCCACAGCTGCCCTGGGGCACACTGACAGAAGCGAGGCAACCAGTATGCGCCATCGGCCCCTCCGACCACCACCAACCATTCATACACACACCAGACTCATTCTAGGCAATGGGGGTGAAGTGTCTTGCCTAAGGACACAACGGCAGTTTGGCACTTTACAGCCGCAGCCGCCCCACTGTGGCTGGCGTTCCCAGAGGTTAAGTGTCTTGCCAAGGACACAACGACAGTAGTCAGTGGGAGTCGATGGTGAAAGTCTTGAGTGGGGCTTGAACCCACGACCTTCTGGCTCAAAGGCCAAAGCTCTACCAACTGAGCTACTGCCGCCCATTATAAAGAGGAGGAATAATGGAGACGTACAAACCCCCTCAAACTCACGGTATTTTCACATAATACTTTTTCAGTGCAAAAGCTCCAACCAATATGAAAAAATAAGAAACAGTTTAGAAGTGAAAAATGATTTCCAAACCTGCTTCTCTAAAATGCGGGAGATCTCTCCAAGAGTCCGATCGAGGGCGGACACTCGGCTGCTGCACCACGGCCCGCTGTCCTGAACCTGCAGCTGCTTCAGGAGGTCCCGGACCAACCGCTGCAGCCTGCACACATGCACATCATTGGTCCCGTCACAGACCTCCACCAGAGTTGGTTAGAGTCTCATTTATCTCAGGATGTGATTCTAAAACTCATAAGAAAACAAGCAGCTCATGGAAAAGTTCATTTACATCAGTTCCAAATGGAATTTAAAATCCATAAAGATGTGTTATTTTATTTGCACAAAAGCGTCGTATGGAATAGACGTATGATACCAAATGTTTCAGAACATTGCACTTACTTTGCCTTGTAAGGAGAGTCAGGGACCTGTGCCTTTGCCTTTGCCTCCTGTAACGTCTCGTATTCCTTGGCCCTGCAGAAAACAGTCAGTCAGTGCAAGACGCAGCGTATGTAAAATAAGTGCAGTTTAGTCTATTTATTTGGCCTGTCTGTCAAACATTCCCCCGGTAACCTGGCTCCAAATAATCACGCACAGATCAGTAAAAACATGTTTTTTCTGCCATCTTGTCATACCACAAAGCGACTTAACCAAACCCTCCGTCTGCAAGTCACACTTAGCACAAGGGGATCAAATTCTTTATACTGCTCAATGTTAAATAAACAGTTAAGAGGGTAGTATGCCCAAGTGTCACCTTGGTCTGGGTCATGGACATTCCCAGACACGATAAAAAAAAAAAAAAAACTATTGATCACAGAACATTCCAGTTATCCATTCCACACTGATGAAATCACAGTTCCTGGAAAAGTGCAGGTGAAGACTTAATCTAATAGTAGTAATTAGTCTAACGCTGGAGGATGCCTTTGGGTTTGTCTGGAGGGCAGTGACTGGTCCTTTTAGATATTTAAGATGTCACAGTTCTCACTTTCATTTAAAGGGACAACAATCTTAGGAAATAAAGTTTTAAGCTTTGAACAAATATGATCTCATCTCTTGTATTCACTGGAAAGTATTCAGAGCAATACGTTTGTTTTAGTGTTATTACTCAATTTCAGTTAATCTTCAGTCAACAACAAAGACACATGTTCACTGTAGCACTTGTCTAATGGGATCTACTCTCTTTGTAATTGTATAGTTTTCTTAAATTGTTGCTACACGGATGATTCAACAGCAGTTCGCTTTCTGACACAAATGGGCACAAACATATATTTATTATTTATCTTCTGATCTGTTGCCACGTCGGCACTGGAAAACAATGGAAAACAAAGCTGCAGTTTTGATACAGAAGTAAGTGACTTTATTTCACGTAAGGCGTCTTCTATAACAGGGAGTGACAGTCACTTTGATCCTAACAGTCGTAAGATCAAATCTAACCTGGAGTTCATTCGCGTGCGCAGTTTCTTGGCCCTCTTACGAGCCTTCTGCCGCTCCTCGGTGTCCTTTGGGCTCTCAGACGACACGGAGCTGTCAGTCACTATGTCCACAATGTACTTTTTTAAAGATAGATGCTCCTAAAACAGAAAGAAAAGACAGATATGAACTGGACAATCAATACTAATTTCATTTTTTAAACAAACAACTGCACGATTGGATCTATTGCCGTCACTATAGAAGTAGCCGTAGCAGTCATTTCCATTTCAGTGTTCCTCCTCACCATGTTTTTATTTGGATGGGGCAGTGTGTATTAATGAACAGCAGCAAATGCACCAGATGGAATCTTTTTGGAACTTTTCTGAGTCAGGCTGAGACATCTTTTTACTGATTACCCCCTGACCACAGCCTGAACCCTCTTCAACATTGCCCTAATGAAGCCAGTTGCTGCAACAATGTGGTAGTGTCCATGCTTTAATCAAGGACTTTTATTTGAGTGCCTTGGATCCTCTTTCATTGCTACAAATCTCTGAGGCATACTTTAGCATGACAAGAATAAAATCTCTAACTTACTAGAGTGGATTATAATAACGTAAAAAGCGGAGAATGGACCACATTCCGCTGGTGTTACCATTAGCCTCTAGGCCGTCTCCCGCCCAAAATACAAATCCTCAATTGTGTACTCACCACTTCTTCGTCAGACAGCTCTCGCCCCTGAATGCTGCTGCTGTCCCGCACCGCCTGCTGGTGCTGCTTGCCTTTGGTGTGGCTGATCAGGTGCACCTCGGATGTGATCTGACGCCACAAAAACAAATGAGAAATGCTCAACAGAGTCCACAGGATGCAACACACGGTTATCCCGGCTGACTAAGGAACCTTGTTGATGGGATATTTAATCATATGACACTGTAATAAAAGGCTTCATACAACAAGAGTGCACCTTCAAGTCTATATAAGAAAACTATATACATGTCTATATATCCCACTACCTTATGGACCAATGTCTCATGTGTTTTTCAGTATTACTTTGCCTGCGTTTCTGTTCTTGCCTCTAATTCTCTACAAAATTGTCACTTTTCCATTAACAGATTATGTTGTTGTACAGTCACTTAAGTTAAATGTATTTTTGTAGAGCCCCAAAATCACAAGAATACATGTATTTCTAGCAATATTTACAGAACTATGCAATTCTTAGATGATTCCTAAGGCTTTGACACCAATATGTTCTAGAAAGGACCAGACCCATTGGCCTAGTTACATCATAAACATCAAAAAATCAAATTTGAATAAGCCAAAAATGAGAAAAAACTAGCAGTAGTGAACAAACCGGGATCTTTGAATGTGAAAACATGTATTTGTTGTGCGATCCTAAATGCGTCTCACCAGCACAGAGCAGAGGGAGCAGTGCTTTTTGCGTTCGTAAGGAGTGAGTTTGGGAGCGTAGTCGGTGTTGGCGTGGCGTCCGCTGCTCAGCTCTGCGGCCTTCTCTTTCCTCTGCTCGATCTGCTCCATGTGTCTTCTGCTGCTTTCATCGTGCTACAAAGGAAACAAAAAAAACACAGATCTCACTGATGTAATTTGTGACGTGAAATAAGAAAAAAGTGAGTCAAAAATACCTTCATCTGAATCTTCTTCTGCAGCTCCTCCATGGCCTCCTGTTGAGCCGCACTGAGAGCTGCCAGACGTTCCTCTCGATCTCTTCATGGACAACATTTCAATAATTACTTTGCTCATAACAAGTAAAACACATTCACTGGTTTATATGTTTACATCCGGTAATAATTATGTTACATATCATACATGGAGATCATTTTTCTCAAGTAGAAATACCATGAGTAGTAACCTTCATTTGGTTTGCTGTATTGTGTTTTAAATTGGTAGCAGTATGAATAAAATGTATTATTATAATTTAGTTAGTTTTAATCACTGCACTCATAATTATTATTCTTGTTATAACTAAATGTAAGTAATATGAATGTGTTGAACCAGAAAGTCTACACACCCAGGTAGAAATGTCATCTCTGGGTCTGCTCTGCCTGTAAACCTTCAAGCCCATCTGTCCACTGCATATGAACTGTATATGTACTGTATATGAACTGTATATGTACTGTATATGAACTGTATATGAACTGCATATGTACTGCATATGTACTGCATATGTACTGTATATGAACTGCATATGTACTGCATATGAACTGTATATGTACTGTATATGTACTGTATATGAACTGTATATGTACTGTATATAAACTGTATATGTACTGCATATGAACTGTATATGTACTGTATATGTACTGTATATGAACTGTATATAAACTGTATATGAACTGTATATGTACTGTATATAAACTGTATATGTACTGCATATGTACTGTATATACACTGCATATGTACTGCATATGTACTGTATATACACTGCATATGTACTGCATATGTACTGTATATACACTGCATATGTACTGCATATGTACTGTATATACACTGCATATGTACTGCATATGTACTGTTACAATCTTTCCTCGGCTTTAGCTGGCGACAGTAGCGTTGGTGAAGTCAGACCTGGCTCTCTCTCTGGCTGCGTCCTCTCTGGCCCTCTCCTTCTCCTGCCGCTGCAGTTCTATGTATATATACTGTATATATACTGTATATATATATGTGAAGTCAGACCTGGCTCTCTCTCTGGCTGCGTCCTCTCTGGCCCTCTCCTTCTCCTGCCGCTGCAGTTCTATGTATATATACTGTATATATACTGTATATATATATGTGAAGTCAGACCTGGCTCTCTCTCTGGCTGCGTCCTCTCTGGCCCTCTCCTTCTCCTGCCGCTGCAGTTCTATGCGCGCCTCCTGCTCCTTCCTCTTGGTGAGCAGCTCCTCGACACGCGCCTGCCGCTCCGCCTCCAGGACACGCTTTCTCTCCTGCAACGACACCTGGATTACACACTCTCCTCCTCAGCCCGAGGTCTGGATGGGGTCACGATGGGGTCACGATGGGGTCACGATGGGGTCTGGACGGGGTCACGATGGGGTCACGATGGGGTCACGATGGGGTCACGATGGGGTCACGATGGGGTCACGACGGGGTCTGGACGGGGTCACGATGGGGTCTGGATGGGGTCTGGATGGGGTCACGATGGGGTCACGATGGGGTCACGATGGGGTCACGATGGGGTCACGATGGGGTCACGATGGGGTCTGGATGGGGTCACGATGGGGTCACGATGGGGTCACGATGGGGTCACGATGGGGTCACGATGGGGTCACGATGGGGTCACGATGGGGTCACGATGGGGTCACGATGGGGTCACGATGGGGTCACGATGGGGTCTGGATGGGGTCACGATGGGGTCACGATGGGGTCACGATGGGGTCACGATGGGGTCTGGATGGGGTCTGGACGGGGTCTGGACGGGGTCACGATGGGGTCTGGATGGGGTCACAATGGGGTCACGATGGGGTCACAATGGGGTCTGGATGGGGTCACGATGGGGTCTGGATGGGGTCTGGATGGGGTCTGGATGGGGTCTGGATGGGGTCACGATGGGGTCACGATGGGGTCACGATGGGGTCACGATGGGGTCACGATGGGGTCTGGATGGGGTCTGGATGGGGTCTGGATGGGGTCACGATGGGGTCACGATGGGGTCACGATGGGGTCACGATGGGGTCTGGATGGGGTCTGGATGGGGTCACGATGGGGTCTGGATGGGGTCACGATGGGGTCACGATGGGGTCACGATGGGGTCACGATGGGGTCTGGATGGGGTCACGATGGGGTCACGATGGGGTCACGATGGGGTCTGGATGGGGTCACGATGGGATCACGATGGGGTCACGATGGGGTCACGATGGGGTCACGATGGGGTCACGATGGGGTCTGGATGGGGTCTGGATGGGGTCTGGATGGGGTCTGGATGGGGTCACGATGGGGTCACGATGGGGTCACGATGGGGTCTGGATGGGGTCACGATGGGGTCACGATGGGGTCACGATGGGGTCACGATGGGGTCACGATGGGGTCACGATGGGGTCACGATGGGGTCTGGATGGGGTCTGGATGGGGTCACGATGGGGTCACGATGGGGTCTGGATGGGGTCACGATGGGGTCTGGATGGGGTCTGGATGGGGTCACCTGCACGGCCTCGTCGCGGGCCTGTTTCTCCTCCTGTCTCCTCTGTCGTTCTTCTTGGAGCTCGTTCAGCCGCTGTTCGTACTCGTTCAGTTTGGCCAAAGCGTCGTGCCTCTTGTTCTGAGCCTCGAGAGTGTTGATGAAGGCTATTTCATTCACCTGAACAGAACCCACAGACAAGGATTCATGGATATATACACGTTTATAAATTAATTAAGAGATAATGTATTTGTCCCACAGTAGGAATGAGGAGCACACAGCAAAGATAAGTGAACAATGCCTCTATACTGAAAAAAAATAATAGAATCTTTAGCTTGAGCATAGTAAAGAAATAAGTAGAACATCTCGGTAATGCTCGCTTTATAATAACTACACCTTATATTAGGTCTAATACATTTTGAAATAACACTTAATCATGAGCAAATCAGTAATTAAGTGTGACCAACGCTTAATAACTACTTAACCTTTACCCTGTGTGCCCTCAGTCACGTAAAAAGAGCTCAGATGTCGTTAGCATTTAGCTTTAGCCTTTAGCCTCTCCTTTATGGACCCAAACAGGACGGAAGTTAGACGCGACTAAGCCCTTCCACGTTTTCTCTTTTTGAATACGGTCACGTAAGCCTTTACACAAGCCTTTACGCGAGCCTTTACGCGAGCCTTTACGCGAGCCTTTACGCGAACCTTTACGCGAGCCTTTACGCGAGCCTTTACGCGAGCCTTTACGCGAGCCTTTACGCGAGCCTTTACGCGAGCCTTTACGCGAGCCTTTACGCGAGCCTTTACGTGAGCCTTTACGTGAGCCTTTACGTGATGCAAGAGTCAGGGTTAATATGTGGGTTTTCAGAGCGGATAAAAAGGGAACTATATTTTAAGGCGTAATATCTTAGGAGCACTTCGAAGTCTAAGTGCTCCTAAGATATTACTACGCCTCACAAGTAGTTAAGTAGATTTTAAGTATTGGTCACTCTTAACTAATGAATTGTTCATGATTAATTAAGTGTTACTTCAACATTTATTAAGCCTAAATAAGGTGTAGTTATTATAAAGTGTTGCCAAAATCTCATACTTGCTTCTTTATTATGCTAAAGTTAAAGATACTGGTGCAAGAAATGTGAAGTCTGTACATGTTAGCGACAAAGTGAAGTCAGAATGAACACATGTGGTTTTATATTGCTAATAATATATAATTTGTTAGATGATGATTATTTGTTTAAAGATCTTTGCCTCTGTATAACCAACTAAACACTGAAAAAGCTCATTATTTAGATTGCTTCATAAGAGCAAAACATCATGATTACTCTTCCGTGTTGAAAAAGGGAATCCTGTACCTTTGCTTCCTCTTCTTGGGCCTTTTTGACAATAGCTTGTAGCTGCACCTCTCTCTTCAACTCCGCATGAAGCAGCTTTTCTTCCATCATTTTCCGACGTTGCTCCAACAGCTCCTCCTTCCATTTCCTCACGTCTTTCTCCTAAAACAACACATTGAAAAAGGTGTCTGTTGAATGTAAATTCTGCAAAATGGTGAAATTAGGGATCGAATCTTTGCCAGGAATAAAGCAGGACTTGGGGAAATTAAAAATCCAGCCGTCAAGAACAACTTCAACAGCGGAAACTTGGATTTATATAACATTAATTTGATTTGTTTTCTCCCTCAAGGTCTGAAATGAAACGTCTCTGTTGAAAGGTGAGGAATTATACTCTCAATATTGTGCCATTGAGCCAATACAAATAATCAAAACCATCTAGTTGTATTTGTAGAGCGCCTTTCCTACACAAGGCAACACAAAGCACCTCACAACCCATATACAATACAACTAACTCATCGACTGCCATTGACGTATTTGTCTGAGACCCTCTATTCGACTGGGGATCACAGGACAACAAAAATAGCTGGAAACAAACTTCTTTTTGCCGATGAAAGTAGACAGTCCAGTCTATCAGAATCTGGTTTCATATTTCACATAGTCTTAGCACGTAATATTCCATGGGTCTTGGGAATCAGTGAAATCATCAAAAACGGCAGCAGTCAATGAGTTAAAGAATCTCAGGACAAAAGATGGGAATGAACCTTTGCAATAATCTGTGTTTACATTCACGTTTTATCAACTTTAATAAGCATTTAACCGAGGAATAACCATGTTTGAGTAATCCTCCAACATTGAAATACTTAGTACCAATGTCTGTTTTGACTAACCCCCTCACATTCTCAATTCTAACTATTTAAACTAAATCATACATATTGCTCTTTCGGATCATTTCTGTGTTTTTTTTGACATGTGTTTCACTAACAAACCACCAGTGGACTCTGCAACTGTTCGAAGAAGGCGCATAAATGAAAATACGAGTGAACTATTTATGGAAATGATAAACTTTGAGAATGCATCGTATTCTACTGTAGATGAACTGTTTAACTCTGTCACCTCTAGTGTTTTGAATGTTCTGGATACAGTTGCCCCTGTGAAGGTTAAAATAGTGAAAAATAAGCAGAAGGCGCCGTGGGCTAAAGCAGACTCGGTCAGGGCACAAAAGAGAAAGTGCCGGAGGGCGGAGCGGAAGTGGTGCAAGTCCAACCTCCAGGTAGATTACGAGATCTTCAAAGATAAGTTGTGCGAGTTTAACCGGGTGCTACGTAGTACGAGAGAAAGGTATTTTTCTGAAATGATTGAAGGCTGCAGCAACAATCTGCGTGTTCTGTTCTCAACAGTTAATAGATTAACAAACCCCCCTGTTCAAATGCCATTAGAGCTTACTTCCAAACGTAAATGCAATGAGTTTGCTAATTTTTTCAATGACAAGGTTCAAGGCATAATGATTTGCCGGACAAGAGATGACAAAATCTTGAAGTTTCCTCAATTTGAATTGTGTGGAAATAATCTGATATTGAGTAGCAAATATAAGTACTTGGGACATTTTATTACTGAAAACCTGTCTGACGATGATGATGTGTTACGGCAGTGCCGCATGATGTATGCACAGGCCAATACGCTTGTGCGCAGGTTTGGTGCATGTACAGATGAAGTGAAAAAGACACTTTTTAAAGCTTATTGTACACCGTTATACTTACGGCACATCTGTGGTCAAACTATAGACAATCCAGCGTGCGGAAGCTAAATGTGGCTTACAATGACTGCCTAAGAATCCTGTTGAAAAGGTCTCGGTGGGAGAGTGCCAGCCTATTATTTGTTTCTTCTGGGATTCGAACTTTTCGTGCTGTACTAAGAAACCTGATGTACAGATTTATTTGTCGACTGAATCAAAGTCAGAATGTGATCATAATGAGCCTGACCAACATCAGAATCAGTGCCACACGCTATCAGTCTGAACTGTGGCGTCACTGGTACAGTAGTCTGCTGTAATCATGTATTTTTTATGATTATTGTTGTTTTTGTTTTTGTGTAATGTCTTTCTTATCTGGACTCCGTGTCTGTAATAAAGTTTAATAAATTTTGGCTCGTAGTTAGAACAGAGACAACCAAGAAGTGTTTGTGGAAAGTTTTATAGCTTATCATTTGCATCTGTGACTTTTTATTATCATGAAGGTGTTTTGACCAAATCATTACTTTCATTGAACATGAGTTTGATGTAATTGTCATATATTTCTACAAACAATGAGTCCAGCTGCTTGGATTGAAACGAAACCGGACGAAAACAACAATGAGGCTCAGTGTTGGGACTGTCAGACTGGGTTTGAATAATGTTTACTTTGAATTATTGCTTAGTGCATTCTGGGGTTCAGTGTTTATGGTTAAATAAATAAATAAATAGTTTAAATAATAGTTTTCTTGATAAAATGATCTTTAGTAATGATAGTATAGTATGCCATTTTTGCACAGACTCTCAGTGGAAATATTACACTGACGTTCAATGTCCACTAGGGGGCCACCTTGTCTTTGAGAGCACTGGTGTACTCTCAAAGACAAGAGTTTATATTAAAATCACATTTATATCAAAAAGACTGGGGGGGGGGGCTACCTGTGGCCTCCCCCGCCTCCCGAGTCCTGTTCGAGCCCCTCTGCTCCAGACCGTCCACTTCGTGAAAGCTGCTGTTGCGTTTCCCCCACAGACGGTGCATCTGCAGAGCCACCTCCCGCTCTGCCGACAGATCCAGGTCCTGCTGCGCCAGGTGTGCCCTCAGCTGCCGGATCTCAAACTGAGGAGAGAACACAGAAAAAAGTAGATTTATGAAAGAATGAATGATGCTGGTGTTAGTCCCTCAGTGGGAAATTACAAGTTGGATGAAGAAACTTGATTGGCCTCTTACAACACCATTTTTCTCATTTATATTTCTACTATTTTCAAAGCAGGGTGTAGCTGGTGTCTGGAGATTCTATCAGACTGTAGAATGACCACATTTTGGATTTGAACTATTCTCCTTTGACAGTCGAGGCAAGAGTAATCGGAAATGAGATTTTTGGGAATAATACATTCTCATAATTTATCTACTTTGGATGACAAAAGTTTAAATTAGAGTCAAATCCAGTTTTACGTGACCAGACTCAATAATAATGACATTTTGTTGTGACGAGACCTGCATCTGGATGTGGTTCTGTATCAATAGCTCAAATAACCTCAACATTGCAAGTAAGCAATGGCTGGATTTATGTGAGAGATCGGAAACAGACCTTTAGCGCCCTCTGCTGGCTGTTAAATACAATTATTTTTTCATTCAGAAATTCTCAAAACCATATCTTCCACTAAATATTTCCTTAAATTAAACTTTTGCCTGTTCTTTGTGTTTTGTAAAATGTCTTTGAATGCTCTACAGTACATATGTTAGATGCATTTTCTTGTAGTTTTATGATTCTTAATAAAATAATAACTAAAGTACTTACGGCCTGCTCCTGACAGATGTGAGTGAGTCTCTCCAGCTGCTCCTCTCGAATGGCTTTGGCCTTTTCAAACTGTTGAATCTCCATCTCCAGCTCCACCTTCACCTGCAGGACATAAGCTGCGACACACACACCACTCACTGTGAGACAAATGTGATGTCACATGATACCAGCTTTTTACTATTACTGCAATGGTTGGAAATGACAAAACAATTATTATTATTAAAGGTGCAGTAAGTGATGTTGTTAGCTTAGCCGTAGCACCAACACAAACCACTCCCCCCTCCCCTCCGTGTGTGTGTGTGTGTGCGTGCGTGCGTGCGTGCGTGCGTGCGTGCGTGCGTGTGTGTGTGTGTGTGTGTGCGTACGTACGTATGTATAATACTTGCAATTACAAAGCTTGTTCTACATTTCTGCGTTGAACGGAAAAGGCCTTCCAGCAGAAACAAAGTGCTGACATTTTCAGTTTTGTGTTTTGTCCAGAAATAGGAACACTCACCGTCAATGATACTCTTGACTCTCCAAATGCGTAAGGTCACTATGAGGCCGATGGCGTCCCACGGACTGCTGGGGCCGTTCGCCACCGTGGAGGCGACCATGGGCGCCAAGGACAGGACAATGACAGCTCCATCGAACACCTGTGAGACCAGGAACAATAACTTTATATCACTAATGGACTTATATATACAGTATATACAGTATATATATATATACAAATATACAAAAAAAAAAAAAAATATATATATATATATATATATATATACAAATATAAAAAAAAAAAAAAAAATATATATATATAAATAAATCACCTCCACTTTGTTCTCGATGTAGTCCCATATTCCCAGCACAACGATCCGGAAAACTGTCTGTGGACAAAAGGACATGATCTTCAAAGACTTGAATCATATTTAAAGTTGAATAGGAACGTTTTATAATGTGCACTTTAGAAGCACATGTCCCAGACCTAACGAGCACAACCTGCTGCTAACGAGCACAACCTGCTGCTAACGAGCACAACCTGCTGCTAACGAGCACAACCTGCTGCTAACGAGCACAACCTGCTGCTAACGAGCACAACCTGCTGCTAACGAGCACAACCTGCTGCTAACGAGCACAACCTGCTGCTAACGAGCACAACCTGCTGCTAACGAGCACAACCTGCTGCTAACGAGCACAACCTGCTGCTAACGAGCACAACCTGCTGCTAACGAGCACAACTTGCTGCTAACGAGCACAACCTGCTGCTAACGAGTACAACCTGCTGCTAACGAGCACAACCTGCTGCTAACGAGCACAACCTGCTGCTAACGAGCACAACCTGCTGCTAACGAGCACAACCTGCTGCTAACGAGTACAACCTGCTGCTAACGAGCACAACCTGCTGCTAACGAGCACAACCTGCTGCTAACGAGCACAACCTGCTGCTAACGAGCACAACCTGCTGCTAACGAGCACAACGTGCTGCTAACGAGCACAACTTGCTGCTAACGAGCACAACCTGCTGCTAACGAGTACAACCTGCTGCTAACGAGCACAACCTGCTGCTAACGAGTACAACCTGCTGCTAACGAGCACAACCTGCTGCTAACGAGCACAACCTGCTGCTAACGAGTACAACCTGCTGCTAACGAGCACAACCTGCTGCTAACGAGCACAACCTGCTGCTAACGAGTACAACCTGCTGCTAACGAGCACAAATGTAAACATACAACTATATATTTCTGACTCTAGAATATACAGTATTTTATAGTTGCTTCTTTATTATGCTAAAGCTAGACACTTTATACTTCTTAATATGGTGAAGTCAGAGATTTAATACTTAATTATTGCCTCTTCATAGTAATTAAGTTGGAGATTATAGATTTTATTCCTTAATGTGCTAAAAAACTAAAGATTTTACACTTTTTATGCTTGGAGATTTTATTATTTTAGTTTAGTTTAGACTTATTGCTCATTTATCTTGTGCAGTGTGCTCCTCCTTCCACAGAACTGTAACGACCCACAGAGAGATGGACCTGAACTCAGCCCAGGACCTTCTCGCTGTGAGGCAAGCACACATGGGTCAGGGTTAGAGACACTGACCTCGGTGAAGAAGAGCGAGAGGATGACCAGACTGATCCAGTGGATGATGCAGGCGAACTGCACGGCGTTATTAACTGTAACAACAGAACACAGGAGACGAGGAGGACATTGTTAAACAGAGGCTCCTGCAGGATGTGGAGGAGCCTCGATCACTTTTATATTACGATCACTGCGCCTCCTGTACTGGCCCCGCTCCCATCTCTGTGTGGAGTGAGAGACAAATGCCCAAAATTAACAATTGTAAACCGCTTTGAGACTCAGATCTGCAGTGAAAAGGCGGTATATAAATAAAAACTTACTTACTTACTTACTATTACCATTAATACAAGACAACAGGGGTCTCCAGCCTTTATATTACTGTAGCATTAATATAACAGGGGTCTCCGGCCTTTATATTACTGTAGCATTAATATAACAGGGGTCTCCAGCCTTTATATTACTGTAGCATTAATATAACAGGGGTCTCCAGCCTTTATATTACTGTAGCATTAATATAACAGGGGTCTCCAGCCTTTATATTACTGTAGCATTAATATAACAGGGGTCTCCAGCCTTTATATTACTGTAGCATTAATATAACAGGGGTCTCCAGCCTTTATATTACTGTAGCATTAATATAACAGGGGTCTCCGGCCTTTATATTACTGTAGCATTAATATAACAGGGGTCTCCGGCCTTTATATTACTGTAGCATTAATATAACAGGGGTCTCCGGCCTTTATATTACTGTAACATTAATATAACAGGGGTCTCCGGCCTTTATATTACTGTAGCATTAATATAACAGGGGTCTCCGGCCTTTATATTACTGTAGCATTAATATAACAGGGGTCTCCAGCCTTTATATTACTGTAGCATTAATATAACAGGGGTCTCCAGCCTTTATATTACTGTAGCATTAATATAACAGGGGTCTCCAGCCTTTATATTACTGTAGCATTAATATAACAGGGGTCTCCAGCCTTTATATTACTGTAACATTAATATAACAGGGGTCTCCGGCCTTTATATTACTGTAGCATTAATATAACAGGGGTCTCCAGCCTTTATATTACTGTAGCATTAATATAACAGGGGTCTCCAGCCTTTATATTACTGTAGCATTAATATAACAGGGGTCTCCAGCCTTTATATTACTGTAGCATTAATATAACAGGGGTCCCGGCCTTTATATTACTGTAGCATTAATATAACAGGGGTCTCCGGCCTTTATATTACTGTAGCATAATATAACAGGGGTCTCCGGCCTTTATATTACTGTAGCATTAATATAACAGGGGTCTCCGGCCTTTATATTACTGTAGCATTAATACAAGACAACAGGGGTCTCCAGCCTTTATATTACTGTAGCATTAATATAACAGGGGTCTCCAGCCTTTATATTACTGTAGCATTAATATAACAGGGGTCTCATGCCTTTATATTACTGTAGCATTAATATAACAGGGGTCTCCGCCTTTATATTACTGTAGCATTAATATAACAGGGGTCTCCAGCCTTTATATTACTGTAGCATTAATATAACAGGGGTCTCCAGCCTTTATATTACTGTAGCATTAATATAACAGGGGTCTCCGGCCTTTATATTACTGTAGCATTAATATAACAGGGGTCTCCGGCCTTTATATTACTGTAGCATTAATATAACAGGGGTCTCCGGCCTTTATATTACTGTAGCATTAATATAACAGGGGTCTCCGGCCTTTATATTACTGTAGCATTAATATAACAGGGGTCTCCGGCCTTTATATTACTGTAGCATTAATATAACAGGGGTCTCCGGCCTTTATATTACTGTAGCATTAATACAAGACAACAGGGGTCTCCAGCCTTTATATTACTGTAGCATTAATATAACAGGGGTCTCCGGCCTTTATATTACTGTAGCATTAATACAAGACAACAGGGGTCTCCAGCCTTTATATTACTGTAGCATTAATATAACAGGGGTCTCCGGCCTTTATATTACTGTAGCATTAATATAACAGGGGTCTCCAGCCTTTATATTACTGTAGCATTAATATAACAGGGGTCTCCAGCCTTTATATTACTGTAGCATTAATATAACAGGGGTCTCCGGCCTTTATATTACTGTAGCATTAATACAAGACAACAGGGGTCTCCAGCCTTTATATTACTGTAGCATTAATATAACAGGGGTCTCCGGCCTTTATATTACTGTAGCATTAATACAAGACAACAGGGGTCTCCAGCCTTTATATTACTGTAGCATTAATATAACAGGGGTCTCCGGCCTTTATATTACTGTAGCATTAATATAACAGGGGTCTCCAGCCTTTATATTACTGTAGCATTAATATAACAGGGGTCTCCGGCCTTTATATTACTGTAGCATTAATATAACAGGGGTCTCCGGCCTTTATATTACTGTAGCATTAATATAACAGGGGTCTCCGGCCTTTATATTACTGTAGCATTAATATAACAGGGGTCTCCAGCCTTTTCCTCCATGAGAGCTACTGCGGAAAGTCAGAACAAAATGCTGATCTATTGCTTTAGGCAGGTGAAAGAAAGCTGATGTTAAAGTAAGTAACAAAAAGTATTTTATAGAACCACTTTAGCCTTTAGTCCATGTCCCAAAGGAAATCCTTGTTTTATGACTGTCAAAAAAAAATCAAGATAAATGTAGCCAAATTTGGGCCGATTTGTCTGACTTGAATGTTTGGGCTTTTCTGTGGTCTCTCCTCACGCACATACAACAATCTATTACAATGTTTATTTTATGTATTGTATTTGTTTATTTGACAGGGGAATTGTGCATTAATGAAACATTCTATTTTTCCTCCGCAGTCCCTGGACAGGTCTCTCTAAAGATAATCACATTAATTAGGGCACTTTCAATAGTTGCATCATGTGAGATTATTCAGCATATTTGTCAATTCTAAATCCTTTCGGGAGCTACTTGTGGCGAGCTACTGATTGCCTCCGAGCTGTCTGTGTGAGACCCCCGTCCTACATCGTGACTGGCTCTGACCCACTCACAGCATCAACCTAGTGACAATAAAGTTAATAATAATAATAAAACACCCAAGGACACTGTACAAACATGGTTAAAACAGAGAGCAAGTAAAAACATCAGCATTATAATAAAAACAGAACTGGACAAAGGAGTTTGGGGGCAACTGGTCATGTGGGGAAAGAGTCTGAAAAGGTGAGTTTTGAGTCTGGATTTGAAAAAGGGAAGAGAGTCAGTACTGCGGAGGTCAGGGGGGAGTGAGTTACCCCCATAGAGACAAGTCGGAAAGAAGGGATTGATCAGAGATACTACAGAAAACTAGAACAATGTGACCAAAAGTGATGGCCGTCATCTGATTGTTTTGCAGTATTCTTGGGTTTCATTAAACTGGCCAGTAGGGGGCGCATGAGCAGAGGTGGGACAGTGTTGCTCCCATTGAAAACCATGTAAAGTCTGTTTTGGAGTCAGAGGCTCTCCTCCTGTGCGGTGTACAGTTGTTGGAACAGTCTTAATCGGGGACACTCAATTCTAAGGAAGGACTAACAAATATTTCTCAAAAGAGTCTTGATTTTGGGCATTTTTGGAAAGAAAAACAGAAGAAATGGCTGCGTTTCATTGGGGTGGCCTGCAGGGGGCGCTTATCTGGGAAAGCCTTGATCCACCTCGCCCGCCTAAACCACTTCTTCTTCTACTATATCTCGGTGTATAAACCACTTCTTCTTCTACTATATCTCTGTGTATAAACCACTTCTTCTTCTACTATATCTCGGTGTATAAACCACTTCTTCTTCTACTATATCTCCGTGTATAAACCACTTCTTCTTCTACTATATCTCCGTGTATAAACCACTTCTTCTTCTACTATATCTCCGTGTATAAACCTCTTCTTCTTCTACTATATCTCCGTGTATAAACCTCTTCTTCTTCTACTATATCTCCGTGTATAAACCCGGCAGACTGCACCTCCAGGACACGTCACGTCTTGTCCTACGTTTGTTGTTCACTGCCCTGACGTCAGATGAAACCCAAGAATTGCAGATTGATATTTTAAAGTGGTATATTTGCCGTCAGAAAGGCCTCTGTGTGCGTCAGTGTGATGTGGCGGTGGACTGTGGGGTCACACTGGGGTCACACTGGGGTCACACTGGGGTCACACTTACACTGAAGGAGCATGGTGTCTATGAGCAGCTCCAGCGTGAGCAGAAGCACCACCACCACCACACACAACACCAGGAAACAGTTAAAGCCCGCAGACAGGAGGCACACCTGCCACAGGGCGGCCCGGCGCCCACAGCACGGCTTCAGCCAGTCCGACCTGCGCACACACACACACACAAACATATACACACACACACACACACATACACACACACACACGCACACACACACACACAAACATATACACACACACTCACACATAAACATACACACACACACACACACACATACACACACACACACACACACACACACACACACACATACACACACACACACACACACACACACACACACACACATACACACACACACACACACACATATACACACGCGCACACACACACATACACACGCGCACACACAAACACGTACACACACACACATACACATTTACATACACACAAACACATAAACATACACACACGCACACACACAAACACACACACACGCACACACACAAACACACACACACGCACACACACAAACACATACACACAAACACATAAAACACACACACACGCACACATACAAACACACACACGCACACACACAAACACATACACATAAAACACACACACACGCACACACACAAACACACACACACACACAAACACATACACACAAACACATACACACCCACAAACACACACACGCACACACATATACACACACACACGTACACACACACATAGACACACACACAAACAAACACACACAAGCGCACACACAATCATAGAGTATTATATTTATTTGTATTTCATTATTGACTGTTTTGATTTAGTCAAGTTTACACAATCAACACAATCAACACAACATTTATAGCCAAGGCTAAAGTAAGTCCGTAATATTTAATTATATAGCGCCTTTCACAGAGTCACACAGCACTTTACAATAGTTGTGGGCACTCTACACAGAGATGGGAGCGGGGCCGAATGCTGGACCTATTATACATGTTTTTAGTGGGGGAAACCGGAGCACCTGGAGGAAACTTACGCAGACACGGGGAGAACATGCAAACTCCACACAGAAAGGTCTGGAGCTGGAACCCGTAATTTAACACACTCAGTATACAAAGGCAGGTGTCCCCCATCTCATCAATGCTCACTCAACTGTTTTGTTTTTAAAAATCGCTTCAGTTTGTGTTTAAAACCGGCCCAGACTGAGGAGAGTTTAAGTTGAGGACTTTCACATTTCTGTTGGAGGAACCTCGTACGATGGAGCCCGAAGAGGAACATAATCAATCATTTGGTTATTAGGCTCGAATAATGCATTTTAATGAGAACACAAAAGAGAGAATTCATGGCCCTTCACCCTGAACATCTGACCCTGGAATCAAACACAACACCTGAAACTACAGCGGTGGAGAAACATGTTCATTTTCCAGGGCGGTGATGGAATGCCAAATGGAGTGGAGTGACAGATGTGCAGAGGAATGAAACCCCAGTATCAAACATTCCCATCTCTGAGCAGTTTCTCTCACGTTTACAAAGTGTCTTGTGTTGTGTGCTCGGCCGGAAGCAGCCGGGGAAGGCCAACACTCTCAGAGCTCAGACTGTTTCTACGGCCCAAAGGCACTCACCCGTCCTGGTTGTCGTCCTCGTCTGGGTTGGAGATGAGCTGAGAGCCAGCGAGGGACATGTCCAGAGGCAGGTCTCTGTAAAAGCCGACCAGTGGCACAGGACCCAGGCGCTGCGCATCGTCGTCCACTTGAGCTGAAATGACCTCCAAATCTGAGGCTCTGGCCTGTGGAGGAACCCTGTGGTAAAGACACGGAAAATCAATATTATTACACTTTTTCTTCCTCTGAAAATATCTTTGGAAAAAGATGAAAAGCTTCAACTACACAGAAATAACACAGTCTAAAGGTAAATAAATATATATGTAGATGTATGTATAACTGACTGATCATGACTGATCCACCTTCACTTCACTTTATTTCATGTCCCCGATGGGGCAATTTGGTTCACAGCACAGGGACACATACAAAGAAAAGACATAGCATAAACAATTTCCCCATACATTCAGAATAACTGCCTTCACAGGTGTATATGGCTTGTTAAGGTAAATAAATATATATGTAGCTGTATGTATAACTGACTGATCATGACTGATAAAGGTAAATACATAAATCCAGCACTTACTTGTGGCTCATGATGAGGCCTTGTCTCAAATGTTCACACCAAATCAAGCTTCCACTGCAGACGTCTGGCTCATATTACTTCTAAAAAGAAGAAAACTGTATACGTTGAAATTGTTTTAGTTTCAAAGTGAAGTATATGTATGTTGGTTTGTTAGATTTAACCTACTCTTGGCTCAGGTCCTGTGGCACAGGCACATCTCCCTCTTGCATAGTAAGTGCAGGGAATGCTAGGTCATTGTGCCACAAACAGGCAGTCATTGATGCCTAGTGAGAAGCCTCCATCAGCAGCCTATTGGCATGACTAACAAGCATTTATGCAAATGCATCAGAAACAACAGCATGACCAAGGCCATTGCTCTGATATCCTGCACCCATCCTCAGGGACTGAGCTCACAGGTACAGAGCATACACAGGTGAAAGGTGAGTGTTGCAGCCACAGCAGTCATGGAGACAGATGGAAAGAAAAGGAGCCAGCAGAGCCTCACACTCATATAAAGGCCATTCCAACCAGAACTTGTTGTGAAACATAAATAAATACATACAAATAGGCTGCTATAGTCACTCCTCACACACGGGGATAGAATATAGCTCTAATAGGCTACAGTGATTGCCTGAGCTTCTTCATTGGCCTGAGAATAGCCGTACGTGTGGGCTGCTGCAGCCGTATCCACGCATCTACCACACTACAAGTACACGGTGTTCGGGGTCCTCTGTGATGCTGAGGATGGAGACAGTTCAGTCCTCACCGATGCAGAGGATGCAGAGGATGCAGAGGATGCAGAGGATGCAGCGCACGGAGAGGAGGCTGCTGACCGCTGCGTGTGGGCTGCACTTCGTATCACGATCACCGCGTTTCCTGAGCGTCTCCCCCGGACCCAGGGCACCATGCTTCGGCACAGACACTGCGGACTGCCGTCACTGGTTCAGGAGGAAAATGGTGTCTTTGTTGCGGGCTGAAATGAGCTGGCGGAGCTCCATGCGCGCAGAGAATCCATGTGAATCCTGAGGATGAGAGGGACTGAGATGTCCAGGGTCTGGCACACGCACGGCAGGAGAGAGAGCGGACACACGCACGAGACGCGGAACAGAACGACACCAAGCCTGAAAAACATTTAATATCCAAACAAATGTCCAGAACACTGGGATGAGCAGATACACAAACGCCACGACGCCGCCGCGGTGATGGAGAAAAACAGTCACCTTCGTTCTTCCTCGCGATAACTCTCTCACGCACGAGACAACGAGATGAAGTTGGCGCGAGCACCTCACACAGGGCACGTGCACGCTGACGTGGGACGTGATATCACGTCATTAAGAGTCCAGCATCAGAGTCATGTTGATCCTGGACTCATAACCCTGACCCTGACCTGACCCTTATTATAGATCGACCCCTGAGCTCTACTTCTATGTCACTGTGACTCCTACTCATACTCAATACTCATACCCGTACTCGTACTCATACTGTTACCCGTTACGCCTGATTAGTTGATACCATTGATCCTAGTCTTACTTACCTGAGGTGGCAAGGTAAGTTTATTTGTATAGCACAATCCATACACAAGGCAGCTCAAAGTGCTGAACAAAATAAGAAATCATTAAAATCATAAATATTCACAGAATATTAAAAAGAAAGATACAAATACTGTATAAAACCCTTCAGTTGTAGCACAGCTAAACAGAACTGTCTTTAACCTGGTTTTAGACATTGTCAGAGAGGAGGCCTGTCTCATGTTTGGACTAACTATAGTCCTGGGCCAGACCTGCGCTAATTGTTTTTTACAAACAGAATGTAGGCGAACACAGGCGAGAGAATAGTTTCCTCACATCTTCCGTTGTTATATTAAAATAGAACACAGCATGACGGCACCAGGGGCATGACGGGAGCGTCTGGTGCGCGCCGTTCTCTACAGCCTAGTGTATACTTGCGCGGCGTGGCTTACGTTAGCGGTTGCGGTGGACCTACGTAAGCACAATGGATGTTATACTGGCGCGTTCCCCTTACGGAGTTTTGAGGAGAATGTTGTAATCCCACAACAAACCACATGAGGGCGATCACACAGGAGCGGTCCCATTTACGCTGCTACTTTGTCCTCTTCAGAACAACAATAGCAAACAAAGCTGTTTGAGCTCATTACATGTGTTTCTACTGTAGGTTTATGTGATAGTTTTATGGATTCATTATTTTATAAGTCATTTCAACTGTGATGCTGTGAATAAAGATACAGTTCTGTTGGAAACATAGTTATTATTAAATAGTTTTCAGCACAAAAAGCAAAACAATAATAGTGGTAAATATCTGAGACAAACATGAACGATTTACGAGTGCAGGAGGAAAGCAACAAACGCAGCTACGATTCAAACAAAGACAGGAACAGTGCAAAACAAACGACTGCACAGTTTATAAGTTATATATATGTTAGATATAAGTTATATATATGTTAGATAGTCCACAGTCTCCTGTATATCAGGCTCTGAGCACAAAGCTCTCTGCTCCATAGTGCCTCGTCCATGCTCCTGCTGCAGCCGCTCCGTGCTTCCTTCCAATACACACACACGGACCAATCACAGCGGAGCTTCCTTGCGGCGACCCTTACGTAATTTCGATGCTGCGCGGCAGGCGACGTAAGGGCCTTGCGGTGACCAACGCGTTGCGCAAGTAACGTCACGTCACCTCCGTAAACTCCGCGCCGCGCGAGTATACACTAGGCTTACGTCAGGCACGCGCAGGAGTGACGTCACGTGCTCACCACAAACCTGTCCACTGGCCCCGGGCTATAGACAGACCACAGTCAGTCTGGAGGCGGATACACACATATACACACACACACACCTACACACACATATATACGCACACACACACCTACACACACATATATATACACACACACAGACAGAAACACTCACAGACATAGACACACACACACACACACACACACATGCAGAAACACACATATATACACACACACACACACACAGACAGAAACACTCACAGACATAGACACAACTAAGTTTCCGTCCAAACCGGTGTGTGTCCTTCTTCCCACACAGATCATGACGATACAATTAAGAGAATGCAGTTTGTATCCTTCACTTCCGATTCACAAAGTGGACCAACTGCTACCTCCACATTTTTATCTCCGACGCACCCACGTGGCCCAGAAGACACGTCCTGCGCGTCCTACCCACCTTTCCGCACTTCGCTGCAGGCAGAGGAGGTGCTTTGTTCAGACGGTGTTGTTCTGTGGTTCTGACCTGTGGTTCTGACACTTCCAGGTCCTGAGAGCCCAACGATGGCAGGTGATGACCGCGGAACGGGTCTGGACTGAGCGGCGTCTGTGCTTTTCTCACGATCTGCTGTTTTCAGAGTACGGAGCAGAGTACGGAGCAGAGTACGGAGCAGAGTACGGAGATGTGTGCAGTGGACAGGAGGCCACTTTCTGCATGAACGGAGGCTCCTGCTACAGGCCTCCATCCATGAACTCCCTCTCCTGTGTGTAAGTACCTACAGACCATGGGTACAGACCATGGGTACAGACCATGGGTACAGACCATGGGTACAGACTACAGGTACAGACCATAGGTACAGACTACAGGTACAGACTATGGGTACAGACTATAGGTACAGACCATGGGTACAGACCATAGGTACAGACTACAGGTACAGACCATAGGTACAGACTACAGGTACAGACCATAGGTACAGACTATAGGTACAGACCATGGGTACAGACCATAGGTACAGACTACAGGTACAGAACATAGGTACAGACTATATGTACAGACCATAGGTACAGACTATGGGTACAGATAATAGGTACAGACTATAGGTACAGATAATAGGTACATACCATAGTTACAGACTATAGGTACAGACCATGTGTACAGATCATAGGTAGAGATAATAGGTACAGACTATAGGTACAGACCATGGGTAAAGACCATAGGTACAGACTATAGGTACAGACCATGGGTAAAGACCATAGGTACAGATCATAGGTACAGACCATGGGTACAGATCATAGGTACATACCATAGTTACAGACCATAGTTACAGACCATAGGTACAGACCATGTGTACAGATCATAGGTACAGACCATGGGTACAGATCATAGGTACAGACCATGTGTACAGATCATAGGTACAGACCATGTGTACAGATCATAGGTACAGACCATGTGTACAGATCATAGGTACAGACCATGGGTACAGATCATAGGTACAGACCATAGTTACAGACCATAGTTACAGACCATAGGTACAGACCATAGGTACAGACCATAGGTACAGACCATAGGTACAGACCATGGGAGCGTGTCTCTGTACAGCCAGGAGAGTCAGTGAAAGTCTGTAATTAGTCAGAACACTGTAAATGTTGCTTAATCATTAAATGCTCTGTTCTTGATTGTCAACATCTATTTCCCTTTGAATATTAATTAAGTTTGGGTTTAATTGGACTATTATGAAGTTGAGCTCACATCCTGAAAATTATGTATAACCTTTAGACTTATAAGCAGCTAATTGTATACATTTAATATTCACTGTAGGTTTTGATCTAATTATTATGTTTAGCACGGAGCAAAAATCCAAAAAGACTTTCACCAGTTTTATTAAAAGTATGTTTTTAATCATCATCTTTGTTGAAAAGCTTCCAAAAGCTGCAAGTAAAACATTGTGTTGCTATGGTAACTATAGTACTAGGTCTTCTCTGGAGGAAAATCATCTGACTCAGAACCAGTCCAGGACCAGTCCAGAGACCAGTCCATAACAAGTCTAAAACCAGTCCAGGACCAGCCAAGGATCAGTCTACAACCAGTCTAGGACCAATCCAGGACCAGTCCAGAACCAGTCCAGGACCAGTGTAGAACCAGTCCAGAGACCAGTCCAGGACCAGTGGAACCAGTCCAGGATCAGTCCAGGACCATTCTAGAACCAGTCTATAACAAGTCTAGAATCAAGCCAGGATCAGCCAAGAATCAGACTAGATCCAGGACCAGTCTAGAAGCAGACCAGGACCAGAACCTTGATTTAATAATAATAAATAATCACATAAAGATAATGCACATGTACATACAGAAAACATCACCTCGTTCCGGAAGACCAAAATAGTACTTGAGCTGAGTTATGACGCTTTCAAAAGTCAAAGCCGTCAAATTGACTGCTCTCAGCTTCCAATCGACAACTTCCCAAAGCATGAAGAAGAAACACGACCATATTTAGACTTTACAGGAAACACATGAGACGCTGCAAACTCAAACCAGTCCATTCAGTGACAGTAAATCTGCATTTATACTATATTTATATCATCATCATCATCATAATCATTATTATTATTATTATCATTATTATTATCATTATCATTATTATCATCATCATCATTATTATTATTATTATTATTATTATTATTATCATTATTATTATTATTATCATCATTATCATTATTATTATTAGTATCATTATTATTATTATTATCATTATTATTATTATTATCATTATTATTATCATTATTATTATTATCATTATTATTATCATCATTATTATTATCATTATTATTATTGTTATCATTATTATTATTATTATTATTATTATTATTATTATTATTATTATCATTATTATTATAATTATTATTATTATTATAATTATTATTATTATTATAATTATTATTATTATTATCATCATTATTATTATTATCATCATTATTATTATCATCATTATTATTATTATTATAATTATTATTATTATCATCATTATTATTATTATCATCATTATTATTATCATTATTATTATTATTATTATTATCATTATTATTATTATCATTATTATTATTATTATTAACATTATTATTATTACATGATGTTTCCAGGTGCAGGCACATGTACACGGGCAGCCGCTGTGAGACGCTCAGCCTGTTTGCCAGTTCTCAGAGCGGACAGAACTACGGCCTCATCGCGGCCGTGCTCATTGTGGCCGTCCTCATCGCCGTGGCTGTGGCCGTCTTCATCTACTACATCATCAAGTAAGTGCCAGCCGACCACACGACGACCACACGACGACCACACGCCGACCACACAACGACCACATGCCGACCACACGACGACCACACGACGACCACACGCCGACCACACGACGACCACACGACGACCACATGCCGACCACACGACGACCACACGACGACCACACACCGAGCATACGACTACCACACAACAACCACACGCCGACCACACGACGACCGACCACATGCCGACCACACGACGACCACACGACGACCACACACCGAGCATACGACTACCACACAACGACCACACGCCGACCACACGACGACCACATGCCGACCACACGACGACCACACACCGAGCATACGACGACCACACAACGACCACACGCCGACCACACGACGACCACATGCCGACCACACGACGACCACACGACGACCACACACCGAGCATACGACTACCACACGACGACCACACGCCGACCACACGCCAACCACACGACGACCACACGACGACCACACGACGACCACACGACGACCACACGACGACCACACGCCGACCACACGCCGACCACACGACGACCACATGCCGACCACACGCCGACCACACGCCCTGGACAGGTGGCCCGAGTGGCAATGGATGGATATTGGCGACAGTAGCTCAGTTGTAGAGCTTTGGCCTTTGAGCCAGAAGGTCGTGGGTTTGAGGCCACCTCAAGACTCTCACCATCGACCCCCACTGTCTGCTCTCGTTTTGTCCTTGGGCAAGACACTTAACCTCTGGGAACACCAGCCACAGTGGGGCGTGTCACTCCCGTATTCGTCCCGGAAAATAACCCAAACCCTTAACCCTAAACTTAACCATCTTAATCAGACGCCTAAACTTAACCAGTCACCACTTAAGGACATATTCAACTTTTTTAATAGTTTAATATATAAATCCGGTTTCCGGGACGAATACGGGAGTGACAGGGCGGCTGCAGCTGTAAAGTGCCAAACTGCTGTTGTGTCCTTAGGCAAGACACTTCCCCCACATTAGAATGAGTCTGGTGTGTGTGTGAATGGTTGGTGGTGGTGGGAGGGGCCGATGGCACAGACTGGTTGCCTCGCTTCTGTCAGTGTGCCCCAGGGCAGCTGTGGCTATAGTAGTAGTTTATCACCACCGTGTTTGGAGGGAAAGATTAAAGGCGCGTTCAGACCAAAAGCTTCAAAAAGCTTTTGACGCGCTTCAACTGACGCCGGGATAGTTTTGTCCTTTTGGTGCTTGGAGGTTTTGACGCGCCTGACGCCGGTGGGAGGAGCTTCTCTGTTGCCTGTAGTCAGGACAGCGGTGGATTTTTCAATGAGCAGCGAGCCTTTATTTGTTATATAAAGCAAAATAACGTTGTTGTAGGGCTTCAACAAAACGTGTCCTGGGTTCACCACAGACTTGAGAGGCTGCAGTGTTTGCAGAGTTCCGTCATTTACTCCAGGAGCTGCGTACGGAGGAGTCTCGCTTTCAGCGGTACTTCCGCATGTCACTTGCCCAGTCTGAGTTCTCAAACCCCGGAGCTCGCCTCTCCCCGGCTCTCGCTCGCCTCTCCCTGCCTCTCCCCGGCTCTCGCTCGCCTCTCCCTGCCTCTCCTTGGCTCTCGCCCGCCCGGAGCTGTCTTGCTCTGAGCCAGACTCATCGTCAGCCTGTTCTTATTTTAAATAAACTACGTTTACTACACAGCATGTGTACAATGATTTTGTTACTCAGAACGTTACTACTCATACAAATAATATTACTAATAACAATAATGACAATAAAACAGCAGCAGCATGACTTCTCTTCATGACAGAGACAGACCCTCTGCTGCTGCTGCTCCTCGTCTCCTGATTGGTTGAAGCCCGCGTCAAAGCTTCAAAAGCTCAGCTTTGCTCAGCTTCGGCGTCAGAGGGATTGTTTTGATACGCGAGCGTTTCGCGCGTCAAAAGCTTCAAGAGTCGTGCGTACTACGCGCAACTCTTGAAGCTTTTGACGCGCGTCAAGTGACGCCGGGGCTCTCGGCTTCACCTGACGCGCTTCACCATTCACTTTCAATGGAAACCTGACGCTTTTGACGCCGAAGTTAAGTCCGGTGTGAACGCCCCTTAATGACACATGTGAAGTGTCTTTGAGTGTCCAAAAAAGCGCTGTATAAAACCGATCCATTATTATTATTATTATTATTATATGGGTAAAAATGTCACTATGTTGGCAAAACAGTCTAAATCCTGACTTCACGTTTTGTGGTTTCACATCAAGATTTAAAGCCTTTTTTTTGCCCAAAGTCTGTCAAAAAGTGGGAATGCACCCTAAAACAATGCAACAAGTATGAAAAATAAACTCAAAAATTGCTCAAATTTGGTAAAATGTTATTTGAGCACATAACTCAGCCTTAAAACAAGATTCCCCAATGGGACACAGCAAAATTATCTTGTTTTGAAAAATATACAGAAATGTCTCCTTTGGAATGAGAAAATAAAGCAACAGTCCTTGAAATGAGACCAAATGGATTTGTCTCAGTGGAAAATGTGGTTTAAAGTCAGAATTAACTCAAATTAAGATAAAAAACACTTGATTCAAGCAAGTATCACCTCATATTTGATCGTTTTTTGCAGTGAACATTGTGAGGTCTGACAATTAGGTCACAATAATTATCAACTTATTAAGAGATTTTTATTTGTCCCACTTTGGGTGAAATTTCAGTGTTGCATTACGAGTAACAGAACAGTGGGAATGAGGAGCACAATAACAGTAACCCTATAACCCAACTCTATTCTAAAATAAAATAAAATCTATAACTTTAGCAAAAAAAAAGCAAGTATAAAATCTCTAGCTTTTGCACAATAAGGAAATAAATCTAAAATGTCCAACTTTATGGTTCAATAACTGATGAATCAATGTTTTTGGGCCTCAATATATTCAAATACACACAATAACTGTAGTATTTTATGTACATTTTCCTTTCAATAGTTAAAGTAGTTCTAGAATTTAATATTCTGCTATCTACAATATGTGTTTATAATATTTCGGGTGTTCACTTTGACATGTTCAGATGAATTATGTTAAAAAACTGCTTTGAAGTGGCACCTTTTCACTTCCGCATAGAAACGCTAGGGGGCGCCAAAATGTCGGCGATGACGTAGGAGAAGGACCTCTCACAGCAGCAGCAGCAGTCTGGGCTGAATCTGTAGGAGGTTTCACTGTCATCTGAACAACGTATAAACATATTTACATCAGTTTTGTACATAATAGTGTGCAACTCTTTTAACCTTTTAGCCTTATTTGTGAGATTCAAGCTAATTAGTGTTGGGCAAGTTAGCTAACTCTACTTGATATCATAAAACATGCTAACAAGGCTAATATTCGTTTTTACATTATGCCAGTCTCACTTTGCCTTAGATTTATTTACCACAATGTACATTGTAATATCTATAAATGTTAATCAAAATAACTTGAATTAAATAAATATTTTACTTTTATGAACAAAAAGCTGCAGAAGTTGAAAACATAGACTACATGTGATGCAATCATTGATAAAAATGCTAATTAAACCGTTAATAGGTGTTAGCATTTATGGATATTACAATGTACATTGTGGTAAATAAATCTAAGGCAACCAAAGTGAGACTGGCATAATGTAAAAACGAATATTAGCCTTGTTAGCATGTTTTATGATATCAAGTAGAGTTAGCTAACTTGCCCAACACTAATTAGCTTGAATCTCACAAATAAGGCTAAAAGGTTAAAAGAGTTGCACACTATTATGTACAAACTGATGTAAATATGTTTATACCTTGTTCAGATGACAGTGAAACCTCCTACAGATTCAGCCCAGACTGCTGCTGCTGCTGTGAGAGGTCCTTCTCCTACGTCATCGCCGCCATTTTGGCGCCCCCTAGCGTTTCTATGCGGAAGTGAAAAGGTGCCACTTCAAAGCAGTTTTTTTAACATAATTCATCTGAACATGTCAAAATGAACACCCGAAATATTATAAACACATATTGTAGTTATATATTCTGGATAGCAGCATATTAAATTCTAGTTCTACTTAAGTTGTTCCCTATTTTAGCTCTAGAGGACTAAGTATTTGAATGAAAGTAACTATTCTATTCTGTTGTTTTGCTCTTGCGTCAGTGGCAGTGGGTGGTTTCCAAATAGTTTCTCAGTAATTCTCATTTCTCTTCCATTAAAGCGAGTTGTTGTGACAGGCCGATGACACTGGATTCATTCATCTTGTCGAAGGTTTTTTCTATCGAGTTCTGGCACTGGAGACTTGATTCTCGGGCGCGGCAAGAAAAAAAAAACAATCAAACAATAGTCTTGAAAATGTGCTTCACAAGAACAAGACAAGACAAGATCTAAACATTCTTCGATTGACGGTCGTTTTTATGTCGTGACGTAAAGTGCTCAGAGATTTACGTTTACTGCAGCGCTTCCTTTTGTGGACGTTTCTCCGAGCGGCGGTTTTCAGGCTGTTTTCAGATTTAGAATGAGTCCAATGGTTTTCACATAGGACAGAGCTGGAGTTGGTTGGATGACTAATGTTTGATAAAAATATGTTTTTTTCCAGACGCATTTTTTTTAGTACTGTGGAAAAAGTATCAAGTGATGTCTATAGACTACAAAAATTAATAACAAATATTTTGGAGCGGACCGATAAAAATAAACCAATGGGATTCGTTCATCTCCAACGAACCAATGGGATGTGTTTACCGCCTTCACCCTCTTCCTGTTTCTCAGACTGCACCGGAGTTATCGGATTATTTAAAACCTAAAATGGCTGAACAGAAAAGGCTAATTTCACGTTTGCTTCACTCTCCCTGTGACAAAGAAAAGAAAATGCTGGATGTTTGGTTTGGTGGAGAGGGAGGGGAGGGGGAGTGGTTTGGTGGAGAGGGAGGGGAGGGGGGAGTGGTTTGGTGGAGAGGGAGGGGAGGGGGAGTGGTTTTGCAAAATAAACCGTTAATAGGTGTTAGCATTTATGGATATTACAATGTACATTGTTGTAAATAAATCTAAGGCAACCAAAGTGAGACTGGCATAATGTAAAAACGAATATTAGCCTTGTTAGCATGTTTTATGATATCAAGTAGAGTTAGCTAACTTGCCCAACACTAATTAGCTTGAATCTCACAAATAAGGCTAAAAGGTTAAAAGAGTTGCACACTATTATGTACAAACTGATGTAAATATGTTTATACGTTGTTCAGATGACAGTGAAACCTCCTACAGATTCAGCCCAGACTGCTGCTGCTGCTGTGAGAGGTCCTTCTCCTACGTCATCGCCCACATTTTGGCGCCCCCTAGCGTTTCTATGCGGAAGTGAAAAGGTGCCACTTCAAAGCAGTTTTTTAACATAATTCATCTGAACATGTCAAAATGAACACCCGAAATATTATAAACACATATTGTAGTTATATATTCTGGATAGCAGCATATTAAATTCTAGTTCTACTTAAGTTGTTCCCTATTTTAGCTCTAGAGGACTAAGTATTTGAATGAAAGTAACTATTCTATTCTGTTGTTTTGCTCTTGCGTCAGTGGCAGTGGGTGGTTTCCAAATAGTTTCTCAGTAATTCTCATTTCTCTTCCATTAAAGCGAGTTGTTGTGACAGGCCGATGACACTGGATTCATTCATCTTGTCGAAGGTTTTTTCTATCGAGTTCTGGCACTGGAGACTTGATTCTCGGGCGCGGCAAGAAAAAAAAAACAATCAAACAATAGTCTTGAAAATGTGCTTCACAAGAACAAGACAAGACAAGATCTAAACATTCTTTCGATTGACGGTCGTTTTTTTATGTCGTGACGTAAAGTGCTCAGAGATTTACGTTTACTGCAGCGCTTCCTTTTGTGGACGTTTCTCCGAGCGGCGGTTTTCAGGCTGTTTTCAGATTTAGAATGAGTCCAATGGTTTTCACATAGGACAGAGCTGGAGTTGGTTGGATGACTAATGTTTGATAAAAATATGTTTTTTTCCAGACGCATTTTTTTTAGTACTGTGGAAAAAGTATCAAGTGGATGTCTATAGACTACAAAAATTAATAACAAATATTTTGGAGCGGACCGATAAAAATAAACCAATGGGATTCGTTCATCTCCAACGAACCAATGGGATGTGTTTACCGCCTTCACCCTCTTCCTGTTTCTCAGACTGCACCGGAGTTATCGGATTATTTAAAACCTAAAATGGCTGAACAGAAAAGGCTAATTTCACGTTTGCTTCACTCTCCCTGTGACAAAGAAAAGAAAATGCTGGATGTTTGGTTTGGTGGAGAGGGAGGGGAGGGGGAGTGGTTTGGTGGAGAGGGAGGGGAGGGGGGAGTGGTTTGGTGGAGGTGGCGAGGGAGGGGAGGGGGGAGTGGTTTGGTGGAGAGAGAGGGGAGGGGGGAGTGGTTTGGTGGAGAGGGAGGGGAGGGGGAGTGGTTTGGTGGAGAGGGAGGGGAGGGGGGAGTGGTTTGGTGGAGAGGGAGGGGAGGGGGAGTGGTTTGGTGGAGAGGGGAGGGGAGGGGGGGAGTGGTTTGGTGGAGAGGGAGGGGAGGGGGGAGTGGTTTGGTGGAGAGAGGGAGGGGAGGGGGGAGTGGTTTGGTGGAGAGGGAGGGGGGGGGAGTGGTTTGGTGGAGAGGGAGGGGAGGGGGGAGTGGTTTGGTGGAGAGGGAGGGGAGGGGGGAGTGGTTTGGTGGAGAGGGAGGGGAGGGGGAGTGTTTGGTGGAGAGGGAGGGGAGGGGGGAGTGGTTTTGGTGGAGAGGGAGGGGAGGGGGGAGTGGTTTGGTGAAGAGGGAGGGGAGGGGGGAGTGGTTTGGTGGAGAGGGGGGAGGGGAGGGGGGAGTGGTTTGGTGGAGAGGGAGGGGAGGGGGGAGTGGTTTGGTGGAGAGGGAGGGGAGGGGGGGAGTGGTTTGGTGGAGAGGGAGGGGAGGGGGGAGTGGTTTGGTGGAGAGGGGGAGTGGTTTGGTGGAGAGGGAGGGGAGGGGGGAGTGGTTTGGTGGAGAGGGAGGGGGGAGGGGGGAGTGGTTTGGTGGAGAGAGGGAGGGGAGGGGGGAGTGGTTTGGTGGAGAGGGAGGAGAGGGGGAGTGGTTTGGTGGAGAGGGAGGGGAGGGGGGAGTGGTTTGGTGGAGAGGGAGGGGAGGGGGGAGTGGTTTGGTGGAGAGAGGGAGGGGAGGGGGGAGTGGTTTGGTGGAGAGGGAGGGGAGGGGGAGTGGTTTGGTGGAGAGGGAGGGGAGGGGGGAGTGGTTTGGTGGAGAGGGAGGGGAGGGGGGAGATGGTTTACGAGTTGTTGCTACGGCTAAGCTAACAACATCACTTACTGCACCTTTAATAATTGCTTGAATCGTGTTTTTATCTTAAGTACTTTCTGATTTGCCAACGGGACAAACCCATTTAGTCTTATTTCAAGAATAGTTGCTTAATTTTCCCATTCCAAAGGAGACATGTATCTTTTTTAAACAATATCATTTTGCTTCGTCCCGTTGGCAAAACTGGTTTTAAGGCTCAATCAAAATGTGCTCAAATTAAAATTAATGCCTTATTTTTCATCACGTTTTGCAGTGTTATTCCCAGCTGCATTAGTGACGTATACATATTTATTGTGACAAAATATATCAGTATATACTTATTTGCAATAGCTTAAAACCTATGAAATCCAGCTGTTGAATAAATAAATAAATAAATTCAACAGCTGGCATGCTTATGTTGGCTGAGCTGAAGTTGGCTGGATGTGTGATTAATTTATCAATGGTACTTTGGGCTTGCAATACAGAGGGCCACTAAACATGACACAGAGGGCCACAATTGGCACGTGGGCCACAGTTTGGACAGGGTTATTAAAGTACGCATTAATAATAAATGATCCGACCTCAAACCATGGACAAAAATGTATCTTTCCACATTTTGTGAACAATGTAAAATAAATGTTCAACTCTGCCACGTGTGCAGACCTTTGATCATGGCTGTTATGTTTACTGCAGATTTCGACGAATCAGAAGAAAGAAGCAGCAGAACAGTGACCAACAAGGACAGTACTGGGAGGTGGAGTCAAGGGTGGGGGCGTGACCTCTGCTCCAGGGCTGTGAATGGACTGTCCCAGACCAGGGACCAGGGACCAGAGACCAGGGACCAGAGACCAGAGACCAGAGACCAGAGACCAGGGACCAGGGACCAGGGACCAGGGACCAGAGACCAGGGACCAGAGACCAGAGACCAGAGACCAGAGACCAGGGACCAGGGACCAGGGACCAGGGACCAGGGACCAGAGACCAGAGACCAGAGACCAGAGACCAGAGACCAGAGACCAGGGACCAGAGACCAGAGACCAGGGACCAGAGACCAGAGACCAGAGACCAGAGACCAGAGACCAGGGACCAGAGACCATGGACCAGGGACCAGAGACCAGAGACCATGGACCAGGGACCAGAGACCATGGACCAGGGACCATAGACCAGAGACCAGGGACCAGAGACCAGGGACCAGAGACCAGAGACCAGGGACCAGAGACCAGGGACCAGGGACCAGGGACCAGAGACCATGGACCAGGGACCATAGACCAGAGACCAGGGACCAGAGACCAGAGACCAGAGACCATGGACCAGGGACCAGAGACCATGGACCAGGGACCATAGACCAGAGACCAGAGACCAGAGACCAGAGACCAGGGACCAGGGACCAGAGACCATGGACCAGGGACCATAGACCAGAGACCAGGGACCATAGACCAGAGACCAGAGACCATGGACCAGGGACCAGAGACCATGGACCAGGGACCATAGACCAGAGACCAGGGACCAGAGACCAGAGACCAGAGACCAGAGACCAGGGACCAGAGACCAGAGACCAGGGACCAGAGACCAGGGACCAGGGACCAGAGACCCAGAGGGAAGATGAGGATTTTGACTGCTAAAAACCAGAACGGGACCAACCAAGCTAACAAGTTCTTGTGGTAGGAGGTACATTTCAACAAACACGTGTTCTCTGAAATGTATTTATGAAGCATAGACTGTATCTATCTCCTAATGTAAATAATGTAACTGTAAATATATTTATGACTTTGTGACTTGTGTGTGTGTGATTTGTGTGAGAACATTTAAGCTACAGCTCATTGTGAAGCTGAATTATGTGTTAAACTTAGAGATAGACACAGTTTACTGTTGGCAACGAACACACAACTCTGAGAAACACTGACAAAGAATTCCAAAAGCGCACATTTCAGACACAAAGCCATTCATAAGATTCTTAAAATTCTCTGCAATCTTTGCCTCTTCCGGAAACAAAATGTGCTTGATTGACCTCAATCTTTGGGCTGTTGATTTTGTTGTTTTAGTTTTATAGTGAAGATTATCTGTAGTCAGTGTTGGGGATATTTATCTTATCTATATTTATTTTATTTTGAGTCTCTAAATGCAGTTATGAGTTAAAATCTACATGTATTTTGTTACTTCCAACGCGGCTTGGACTTGACATTATATTTATGTGTATTTATTTTTTTAATATTAGTTGGAAATACTAAAAAATATACTATCTTACAACAGCTAAGCCACTGCCTCCACCTAGTGTCCATAACGTCCTACAACATTAAGCCCAAAGTGATAGTGACTCATTTCTTACAAGTATGTGAAATATAAATATGTTGTAGTCTGATTCATTAATATTATTTTACTTTTATTATTTATGGCACATTAGGTCTCAAACCTTTAAGATTCAAGATTCAAAAATGTATTTGCCATTTGCAGCAAAACCACATTGGAATAACTGTGCAAGACTACCCCAATGTGCACCAGAGATGAGGATGTACCAAAGTTGTTTCCTGCACCATCCGGAAAACAGTAGAAACAGCAGAGGAGACGGACAGACCGGACAAAAGCTGGACATTTCATTAAGAATGGCCACAAAAAATATGCAAAAAAAGATACGAAAAATACGAAATAATCAAATACTTAAAAGTCACAATGAGATGAAAAACCACACTGTTTATTTCCAAAAATATCAATATAATTAAAGCTTGTTTTGGTAGAAATGAATAAAATATTACGGCCACTCGACTGTAAAGATGAATGATATGATTAAAAGTTTATTGTTTTCGGTTTCTGGCTCGGTCAAAGTGCTGTGCGATTCCCAGGGCCGTTGCGTTCAGACCCACAGACTGCATGTTTGTGAGGATCGTGACCACCACTCCTCTGGGCGGCTGCTGACCCTCTTCCTCTTGCTCGGCAGGTAAAACCAACAGGACACTGCTGGCCCCTACAGCGCCCCCTGTGTGCGAGACATAGTGCCTGCGCTCCCTGCACTGGCCAAACTTCTGCTGCTTCTCCACCACTAACCAGGCCTGAGCGTAGCCTCCGTCCTGGTCCCAGCTGCCCTCGGTGCGGTCCACGGGGGTCCATAGTTCCAGAGCCGTGTGTGGTTTGAGGAATCCGGGCAAAAAGCCATCGGCGTCTTTGATCTTTGACATCTGATAGCTGTAGAGGAGAGCGTTTCCAAACAGGAGGAGATCGCCAGCCGTGGACAGGAAGCCACCTCCAGCCCACTTGTAGGAGTTGTCCACGTATGGGCAGTTCACTACACGGCCTTTTTTGTTCAGATGGTAATACCTGAGGGCCAAAACGTTCAAGAATTAACCCCGTAGAGCCCAGACATCAAAATATGTCAAAATATATATCAAATATCAAAATACATCCGTGCTATTTTTTGGAAAGCAGAATTCAATGACCCTCTTTGGCAATGTAGCATATTAGCTTTTGGGATTCTCGGGTACATACTTTAGTGAGGACATTAAACAAACAAAAAATCATTCTTTTTTTGCCATAACCTTTGAACTTTATGTTGCTTATTTGTAACCGAGGGTTAAGGTGCCACTGTTGTGTATTGTATTGTATTGTTTTGAACGTATATTGTAACCTGCTCCTGCGTGAACTGTGAGGCCAGACTCTTTGTGTGTTTGTGTAGAGTTTGTGTGTTCTGCTTTGAGATTCTGCTGCAAACTCATTATCCTTTGGGATCAAAAAAGTGTTCTGAATCTGAACTGACAATAATATATGGTTTGGAGAACACGCCCTGTTTCCACACACCCTACTATGTTCTACTCGACTAGCGACCAACCCACAACCAATGGCGATCACTGTCGGTAAGAACACCACTTTAGTGTTTTATTCCAGGTTAGACATCGGATTACTTAGTTTATTTTCATTTTTCACAGTGGTAAATAGTCAGGCTCAAGATTCCCAGAGGAAAAACACAAATTTCCCAATTTTGTGTGTATGAAAAAGTAACAATACCTTTACCACAGTCAATTACTGCTGTGGTGAACTGACAAATACATATTGGCTGGAACTTAACAACTGCAGAGCTTAAAACATTTGGATCTATAACATTTTGTGATTTAAAAACTACTATTGAAATATATATGCATGAAGGAAAGCAAAGCTAGGCACTCAACTAGTTTTTACGGTAATGTGGTACTAATCTGGAGTCAAAAACGGAAAAAAACAAACCTAATTGGTGAAATCGGCTACACACAAAATATTACAGATTTGTACAAATATATACAGTATTATGTTTAAGAAATGCACACATTAAACACAGACAGAGGTCATGGTGAGCTTACCTGGAGCGGTGATATATGATGGGCTCGTTCAGCTCTGGCACGGTGTGGATCATGCCCACTTCGCGAAACAGCGCCCTCATGTGGTCTAGGAAGGGCTCTGCAGCGGCTCTCTCCACAACTGCACTGACCAGCGTGAAGGCGTGCGTGGAGTACAAGTACGTGGTGCCTGTTTGGACCAACAATCCAAGACTTAAATCACTGCTTTAGTTTAGCCCCGACAGTTCTTCACCTACAGAGAGAAGTCTACACTCTTGACTCATTTACTGATTATATATTATTTGTATTCAACATAATGTGATGTAATAATGAACCTGGTTTAAAAATGAGTGGGTCGTCCTTGAAGAGGTCCAGTGCTTGGATGACGCTGCTGAAGTGGTCTTTGAGGTAGTATTCCTCCAGCTCAAACTCACTCTTCTTCTGGACACATTTCTTCTGCTCTTTCTTTTCCTCCTCATCAGTTTTTAGTTTGGCTTTGCGTCTGGCTTTGTCACGCTCCTCTCTCACTTTGTTTGCGTCCTTCTCGTAGTGTCGGATCCCACTTAAATGAGAGAGGAGCATCCGTGTGGTGATGGTCACCTATAAACATCACATTTGTGACACACTTATGAACCGTCTGAAGTTATACTGAAAGTGCAGACTTGTTCCACTGCTACATGTTTCATTAGAGCCACTCACTTCCTGTCCCTCAAAGTGTTTCTTGGGAAACTCTGGGACATATTTCTGCACCGGTGCATCCAGCTCCAGTTTTCCTTCTTCACACAGTCGTGCTGCAGCAGCAGAGGTGAGGGATTTGCTGATGCTGGCAATGCGCATCACAGTGTCTGCTGTGCAGGGCACTCGGTTCTCCAAGTCTGCATATCCCATTCCTGAAGTCAATACAAACTCTGAGCGCCTGCTACATTTGCAAAGCAACGAGGGTTATTATGGAGTGAGGTAAGTTACAGAAAAAACACACACAGGGTGTTTTTCTGGATTAGTCAGGGCCGATGCAGTGACGTGAGCTGAGGATGTAATGTTTGGGCACTGGAGACTGTGGTCAGTTGTTCATTATTGAAACTGATGATTGTGTTTATTAAGCAGCTGAGACTCAGGACACAAACCTTCGCTCCAGACCTTTACCCCGTCCACAGAGACGCCCACCACGAGCCCTGGAGCTGCGACCTCCGCCTGCACAGACACAGTCTGGACCTGGGTCTCAAACTTCTGATAAGTACCACCAGACACTAGGTTCTCATTTGGTCTCATAAGCACGACCCTGTCCACCCAGGTCAATATATTAAATATATCCTAATAAGGACTTTCCTGAGTCTGAAATGGAGAAAATATTTCTACAGTAAGTGGAGAGGAATAATGGAAGTGAAGGAGTCAACACCACAGCAGCGGTCTGGATCAGCACCTGACAAGGGAGGACCAGTCTACGGACTATGAACCAGTCTATGGACCAGTCTACAGACTATGAACCAGTCTATGGACCAGTCTACAGACTATGAACCAGTCTATGGACCAGTCTACAGACTATGAACCAGTCTATGGACCAGTCTACAGACTATGAACCTGTCTATGGACCAGTCTACAGACTATGAACCAGTCTATGGACCAGTCTACAGACTATGAACCAGTCTACAGACTATGAACCTGTCTATGGACCAGTCTACAGACTATGAACCAGTCTATGGACCAGTCTACGGACTATGAACCTGTCTATGAACCAGTCTACAGACTATGAACCAGTCTATGGACCAGTCTACAGACTATGAACCTGTCTATGGACCAGTCTACAGACTATGAACCAGTCTATGGACCAGTCTACAGACTATGAACCAGTCTACAGACTATGAACCTGTCTATGGACCAGTCTACAGACTATGAACCAGTCTATGGACCAGTCTACGGACTATGAACCTGTCTATGAACCAGTCTACAGACTATGAACCAGTCTATGGACCAGTCTACAGACTATGAACCTGTCTATGGACCAGTCTACAGACTATGAACCAGTCTATGGACCAGTCTACAGACTATGAACCAGTCTATGGACCAGTCTACAGACTATGAACCTGTCTATGGACCAGTCTACAGACTATGAACCAGTCTATGGACCAGTCTACGGACTATGAACCTGTCTATGGACCAGTCTACAGACTATGAACCAGTCTATGGACCAGTCTACAGACTATGAACCAGTCTATGGACCAGTCTACAGACTATGAACCAGTCTATGGACCAGTCTACAGACTATGAACCTGTCTATGGACCAGTCTACAGACTATGAACCAGTCTATGGACCAGTCTACAGACTATGAACCAGTCTATGGACCAGTCTACGGACTATGAACCTGTCTATGGACCAGTCTACGGACTATGAACCTGTCTATGAACCAGTCTACAGACTATGAACCAGTCTATGGACCAGTCTACGGACTATGAACCAGTCTATGGACCAGTCTACGGACTATGAACCTGTCTATGGACCAGTCTACGGACTATGAACCTGTCTATGGACCAGTCTACAGACTATGAACCAGTCTATGGACCAGTCTACGGACTATGAACCAGTCTATGGACCAGTCTACAGACTATGAACCTGTCTATGGACCAGTCTACAGACTATGAACCTGTCTATGGACCAGTCTACGGACTATGAACCAGTCTATGGACCAGTCTACGGACTATGAACCTGTCTATGGACCAGTCTACAGACTATGAACCTGTCTATGAACCAGTCTATGGACCAGATTATGGACCAGTCTTCAAAGCCACCCTGTGTAATGTTTACAGTTGCTCCATATGTAACCTGTGAACTACCATCTCTCACCTGGAGCCGCTCCAGCAGCTCTCGGCTCGCTTCTACGGCTGCTCTGAACGCGGTCACATCGGTCCGGTCGTGATCGGGACTTTCCGCTAAGTCTCTGCGGGACTTTAGACCCAGAGCCAAAGCCACAGTGACCCCGACCCCCAGGCCACACAGCCACAGCCTGGACCTGGACCTGGACCTGGACCTGGACTCTTTACAGACATGTCTGTGGTGAATAGACCTGCGAGTGAACTGGGTCTGAGCACCACGTAGACCCAGCCGGGACCAGGACCGGAACCAGGACCAGTGCAGTAGGATCCGAGACATGGTCTGGGGTCTGTGGGTCCGACAGACCACTTCAGATCAGACCATATAAAACCATGCACTTCTGCTCCGGTGAGATCCTTTGTTTACTTCCGTGTTTGTCTTCTTCTGCTGCAGGAGTGCGATGCTGCCCCCTCTCGGTCAGAGTGTAATGTTACTGGACGAGTTTTGACAAGAACCGATAAAAATAGATCCATGTAATGAACATGTCATTAAAATGTTCTATTAAATAACGTGTTACATTCATTTTACACTTTTTATTTTAATATTTTACTGTGAAAAAACAACAAAATCGAACATATTTCCTAGTTGAAGAGTTTCTCTGTTCAACTAATAACTTTTTTTAGTACCTGCTTGCTCTATCCAGGCCAGTACACTCTGGCCTGGCTGGCTGCTGGAAGCAATGGTTACCAAGGAATTTCCCCGTGTGCCGATTTGTTGTGGATAGGTACAGTCCCAGATCCTAAAGTGTAGGATCCAGGTAGAGAAGTTTTTCAAATGATGCAATTAATTTTGTGCTTCAAACAATATGTTCAATGTTCCCGTGTATTTTAGCTTCAAATTAGCTCAGTTTCCAATATGTTTGCATATTTATTGAACATAGCAACAAAGGACTCTTTTACACATAGAACTAGTGTAAAAACTAACATCAAAAGCTGTCGTTCCGATGAGTAGCACAAATATCCTTTCCGTATTTTTTGGACAAAACGAATTATTGACAAGAAAGAAATAGTTGGAAACGTGAACAAAAGTGGTGTTGAATACATGCTTTTATTTATTTATTTATTTGTATAATTTGTACAGCAAAAATGAGAAACCTCTACAAACACGACCATACATTAGTCTTGACTTAATGAGTAACGAAAACATTTGGGGCCTACACCGTTCAGTCACCGGTGTGGAGGACAGTAGCACCATTCGACGGTCTCTCCGCCAGAAAGGAAGGGCCACGGTAAAGCAGCGGTGTGCAGGCGGAATGTCCACGTACGAGAAGTGATTGGTTCATGCTTTTGGTGTTTTTTGCGCAGTGACTGGAGCAGAGGCGGCGGGCACAGGGGGCACAGGGGGGCACAGGGGGCCACAGGGGGCCACAGGGGACGCTTCACAGATTATTGAGGTCCATCAGAGTCTGGTCCAGCATCTGCGTCATGTTCATGTTCTCTTGTTTAGCCTCGGACAGGGCCTCTGTTAGAACGTCAAAATCAAAACAATTTTAAATTCACAGAAACGGATTTACACAGTGAGGAGCAAGTCTCAGTGTTTAAGCCGCACTTCAAAAGCATTCCAGTAAATCCACAATCATTGTTAACAGCGATGGTGTAAGATTCTTCTAAGTTAAAAAATGGGGGAGGTTTCTGGGTGAGTGGGGGAGGAAGTATGATAACATTTTACCAAACAAGACTATGAAGCAAACAAAGCCATACTGCAAATACACCGTCTAGACTCAGTAAAAATGTCTACATGTTATACATCTGTTGTACTTGTATATAAAAGGCAATGTATGATACATGTATGGAAATGTGAATATTATAAATGAAGTCAAGGCAATGAATTGTAAATATTGTACACAAGGGTGAGAAAATAAACTTGTTCAAAGCTTGAAATAAATGCTCTAAACTAATAATGTATTTGCCTATTTTTACTATTGTAGTGGTTTTGGGAAACATGTGCCGACGACAGGGCTGACAGGGTTTGGAGGTCGTCTTAAAAATAACAATAATAATAATTTAAAATAACAAAAACAAGCATCAAGGGTATTACAAAAATAATGCCCTTAGCCTGTAACTCCCTATACTACCACCAGAGGGAGGGGTAGAATTTGATTTCTTTTCAAAATACATAATTTCACCTAAACTTTCTACCTAAACTAAAATAAAGGCTATAATTTTGTTTTTAAGACAGAACGGCTCCGAGTATGACGTCATAGTTGTACAAGACGGGGCGGAGTTACACGTTTGTGCCAGAAGTTCCTGATATTTGCCTGGACGGGTCTAAAAACAACTCCAGGTCTGTAAACAGGGAACAATGTGGAGACGTGGAGAAAAGAAAGAAAAAGTCTATCTTCTTTCTGTTTGTACACCATGTTCAAGTAGAGCTCACATTTGAGGGAGAATTGTGGCTGTGACCCGTGTTATTGCACCTCAGCCGAGTCTCGAAATGTTGTGGTTTATCCAAAATCACGCCGTCATTTCCACCATTAAATGTTTATGTAAGCGACTGTTTCACCTGGAAGCAAGGCCTGAATAGATTTGGAGTAAATGCTGTTTAAACTCCGACACTGGAACAGGAGAATCCATGTAGGCATTTCCAGTCTCTATCACTCACGTACATACACTCCGTGATATTAAGGCCGCTACTGTTGCATATTAAATAAAACTTCTTTCGAGTTTAAGTCAAGAATTATGACTGAAATAATGTCCCCATCTCCTTGTGTTTTGTACTGAAATGGTGGAATTCAGGATTCAGTTCTGCGTCTTCACCCACAGCAGTATTGTCACTTTTTCTTTTTGATAAAACAGGTTGCGTTCATGTCGCGGTTGGAGGCCAGGTCCAAGGGCACTCTGTTCAGGAAGCCATTTTGAAACAAGTGTTGAAAATGATCAAAGGTTTTTCGACATCATTTTGTATTCTTAAAACGGTTTGGTTCTTCTACACCAGACAACAGGAGGTTAGCCTTAACTATTGTCTGGCGTAGAAGAACCAAATACTTTTATTTCTACGGAGAAGAAAAGATGAATCTCCTTTGACTATTTTCTAATATTATTATCATGATGTTGTCCAGTAGAACACATGAAAATGAAGAAAGACTATTTATATATGTACTGACCAAGACTGTATTTGTTTTTATCCCAGGAATGAGTTTATATGTCTTTTCTCTAGGACTAGACTCTGGCCTCCTCTGGTTTCAAACTCGAGGTTCTTTGGAATATTGCCACATCAACGCAACCCATTATGCAAATCTCTAAATCAGCAAAACAAACATTTATTTTCCCCCAAAATTAAAAGACCAAATTCATGCAATGACCTAATTCCAGAACTAATTTAGTCGTTATTCAAAGCCAGGCAGAGCTCTTTGGCGAGGAGGCCACTTTTCTCCACTTGCTGGTGGAGGCGATCTTTGCAGTCAGAAGGCAAGTTCAGAAAACACACAAACAGAGGAAAATCAGGGATCAGGACAAAGGTAAAAGCAGGAATAAAGAAAAGAAACCTACCTCCAGGATTCTCTGAACGATGACTGTGAACCTCTTTATTATTAGTTTAAATTCAGAATCTAAAACTCGTCTGCTTGTCCCTGTGTTTATCTGAACTAGTAGCTACCCTCTGCTTAATGGGCACCGTGTAAACCACTACTGCCAAAACCCCGTCATCCGTTTAGTTTCCTACAATAAAACACACTGATTTTTATGTGCTTTTGAATTTATTAACGACACAGTTGAATACCAGACATCTCAAAGTCAACGTCACATCTGCTATGCTAGCCTTCTCTTTACCAGTCAAAGCTCACCATCTCTCACATACCAGTCACCATTCGATCTCTCATTAAGACAATCATATAGAATACTAAGCTGGGAAAAGTAGCTGTAGCTTGTTGAGATGAACAAAATACAACAGGCAAATAAAGATGTATTAAAGCAAAAATAAATGACAGGAAATGGACAGAGAAAGAGGATACGGGATACAGAGAAAAAAGGTTTATTCAGGACATAACAAAGGCCGTTTCTCTGAGTCTGTACAAGTGAAGGGAGGGGAGAGATGTAGACATGGGGATGACAAGAGGGGAATAGAATAGAATTGAAGGAAAGGCACAGACACCGCTCGGCCAACAGGAGGCGCCTTTGAGGAGGAGTGAAGTGTTTATCTGTGAGGAGAGAAGAAGCAGAGTAAAGGGGCCGCGCCTTGCTACACGATGCACCCGCGGAGTTCTGACCATAGACTGTGGACCGAGGAGTGGACCTAAACCTGCGTGCGAATACGCAGAGAACGGTTTCTTTTACGCTCACCGTTTTGGGCTCGACATGATCCCGGTGTTTTCTATTTTGAAAGTGTCTTTGTATGTCCAGAAACTACCCCGAACCTGACCAATCAGGAGCCTACTATCCCTGAGGCTTCCATGTGGCTTCGGCTAGGGTTAGGGGCTTTGGTTGCTGGGTAGTTGCCATCGGAGAATATGGCTGCAAAATCACATGGAGCCCATTTGGTTTGGTCAAAAGTATAGAAAATCAAATGTTAAATCAATACTAAAACTAGACACTCATTTGAGCAAGTATCAAAACTGCAAAAATTAAAGTAAAACAGGAAACAGTGAGAGGATGTCAGCAGTTTTGATCGATTGTTTTGATCTATAACTAGCATAAAACCAGTACAAACTTCCTTAATGTATTTGGCATGTATGTAATCTATTTCCCAACATCAGAATAGAGTTAGTAACTTTAGTATTGTGACTGCGCTCTGAGGCGGACGCTGTGGGTGAGGTCAGCTCCCAGTCTGTCCACTCCTTCTACAGCCTATAATTATTACCGAGCACAAAGCAAACCGAGTTAAAGGCCCAAAGACCTGCCCTTTATGGCCAGACTTTGGCAGGAAGAAACGCAATCCAAAACAGAAAACTTAAAATCACGTTCAAGAGAGAGGTCTTACTTCAGCACAGCAGGAACCCGACGTTACAATATTAGAAACACCCTGATCATCCATGCGTCCGACAGGTTTCCGAGTTACGTTCATGCACGACAACGGCACCAATGATACTCCTCAAACAGTATCATCGTAAATCAACATTAGAGGAAGAGTTTGAACACTTCAGTGACAAAAGTATCTTTATAACACTCAATCCAGTGGTTGAAGTGGTATCAGCAGGGCCATTTCTAGCTTTGGGGGCAGAAAACCAAACAAGAGGCTGGTAAACAAACGCATTAACAGCCTTTGACGTTAGTAACAAATGTATCCGAGTACATTTTTTACCAACGAGTTTTCCCAGTAAAAAACAGAATTATGATGAGCATGGACTAGTTTTTTAAGGCATCTGAAGAGTTTGCTTTGGCCTTGAGGGATTTCTATTGCTAGAAACGGCTCTGGATACACTTGAACTGAAGGACAAACAAAAAGGAGGACGTTGCGTGAGTGGAAAGGACGGGAAGGTGGAAGGTGCAGGAGGAGGAGTTACATGGAGGTCATGTCGTTCAGGGCGTGGTCCAGCTCCTCACTGATGGCTTTGTACTTAAGTTTCTGAGAATACAACTCGTCTGAAGAGGGCAGAGGAGAGGAATGTGGAGAGAAAAGGAACAGAAGTGACCGAGTGGCACAAGGAAAAAAAAGGGTAAACGTAAAAAAGCAAAAGTGAGAATGAGAGAATGACAAAGACAAACTTAGCCTGGCTTTTGTTTTTCCTGTTCTGTGCAAATAACTGAATGTTCCCTGCAGTTGAAACAGTGGAGATCGGGGTAGACAGTTTTTTTTTTATCTTGATTTGAAAACATTTTGACATTCTTAAAACAATGGAACAACCAGCTCTAGTAGAATGTCCCACTGTGGAACGATTAAAGGAGTCTTATCTTAACTCTTGGTGCAAACAAGTTATATTAAAGTAGAATAGAATAAGGCATGCATAAAGACAAATCTACATTAATGTCTTACTGCTATACACAGCACAGATAAACCAAATGTTTTAAGACAGTCAAAATGTCCGTTTAGCCAAATTTGGGCATTTTCTAACTTTCTTTGGCATCCATTATACCCAACAAAATAATCATTTTTATATTTACCCTTGAGCTATAGGTTGGAGACCCGTGGTATAGAGTGTATAAAAGTTACATATACAGAAATGCATGTCCGCACAAAATGTGAAAAATACATCTTATAAAAGAGAAAAATATTACCTTCAAGGTCATCAATGGTCTTCTCAAGCTTGGCGACTGATCTCTCAGCGAACTCGGCTCGGGTCTCAGCCTGTGGGTCACGGTCAGAGGAGTCTCGGTCAGAGGAGTCTCGGTCACAGGAGTCTCGGTCACAGGAGTCTCGGTCACAGGAGTCTCGGTCACAGGAGTCTCGGTCACAGGAGTCTCGGTCACAGGAGTCTCGGTCACAGGAGTCTCGGTCACAGGAGTCTCGGTCACAGGAGTCTCGGTCACAGGAGTCTCGGTCACAGGAGTCTCGGTCACAGGAGTCTCGGTCACAGGAGTCTCGGTCACAGGAGTCTCGGTCACAGGAGTCTCGGTCACAGGAGTCTCGGTCACAGGAGTCTCGGTCAGAGGAGTCTCGGTCAGAGGAGTCTCGGTCAGAGGAGTCACGGTCAGAGGAGTCTCGGTCACAGGAGTCTCGGTCAGAGGAGTCTCGGTCACAGGAGTCTCGGTCACAGGAGTCTCGGTCACAGGAGTCTCGGTCAGAGGAGTCTCGGTCAGAGGAGTCTCGGTCAGAGGAGTCACGGTCAGAGGAGTCTCGGTCAGAGGAGTCTCGGTCACAGGAGTCTCGGTCACAGGAGTCTCGGTCACAGGAGTCTCGGTCAGAGGAGTCTCGGTCAGAGGAGTCTCGGTCAGAGGAGTCTCGGTCACAGGAGTCTCGGTCACAGGAGTCTCGGTCAGAGGAGTCTCGGTCACAGGAGTCTCGGTCAGAGGAGTCTCATGAGCTCGGTGTATGAATGACAAAACCTCACCTCCTTCAGCTTGTCTGTTAAGACTTTGATCTCCTCTTCATACTTGTCTTCCTTCTGCGAGTACTGTTGGACAAATGTTGGACACAGAGCCGTCAGACAGAAGCCGGTTTGGAAATAAGAAGGAGCTCCAATGGAACCGCCACCAGCTGCAGCCCCAGGCACCGACACCAGCACCGACACCAGCACCGACACCAGCACCAGCACCGACACCAGCACCAGCACCGACACCAGCACCGACACCAGCACTGACACCAGCACTGACACCAGCAGAGCCACGTACCTTCTCAGCCTGGGCCTCCAGAGACTTCAGGTTGTTCGTCACGGTTTTCAACTCCTCCTCAAGCTCAGCGCATTTGCTGGAGTTTCAGGGAATTACGACAGAAGAGAAGTGAAGATGGAGCAGGAGGGAAGAGTGAAAACACGTTGTTAGAAAAGGAGAGATCCCAACGACGCTTCTTTTTAGTATCAGGAGGAGTTGGTTTAGTTCAAAATGTGAAATGACTGAGACCATCCTGTAGCCATCGATCCGAACCAAAAGAATTTCACTTTTTACACTTCTCTACAGCAGGGCTCTCCAACCTGTGGCTTCGGAGTTGCCAGTAGCTCGCCAGCTCCTTTCAGGTAGCTCCCCAAAGGATCTAGAGTTTAACACATGATCCTGTATGATTACTACTTTAAGCATAAAGGTAGGTTTATACAGTATCATGGTGCATTTCACAGCACATCTACTCTCTCCATATTTAGTTAATACAGAGACAGTTTTCATGACAACAAAGGGGAGTAGCTCTCTGCCTTTTCTGTTGTATAAAAAGTAGCTCTCATTGAGGGAGGTTGGAGGTCCCCGCTCTACAGCCCCTCAATTTGACATCACATGAACACAACCAAGTCCTCAGAAGCATCCTGAAAAACACTGACATTGAACAGGACGATCCAAAGGGAATGACGTAAGATGGAAAAATCAATCTCAAACGCTGCTTAAGCATCAGGAGCAGGTAAAGAAGTCAGACCATGATCATCCTCAGCAGCAGCAGCAGCAGCAGCAGCAGCAGCAGGTCAGTAGGGTTAGGGTTCTAGTCCCCGTGTGCACATGTACCTTCTGCGTTGTGGCGTCTAGAGCTTTCACACATTGCTCCAAAGCCCTGAGCTCCTCTTGAAGTCTCCGCACTCGTCTGTTAGAGCGGCGTCATACAAACCGTGGAGAAGCAAGCAATAAGCAGCACAACAGGCAGAATCACAGGACAATGTGAGTGTGTGTGTGTGTGTGTCAGTGTGTGTGTATATGTTGGCGTGTCAGTGTGTGTGTGTTAGCGCATGTATGTCAGTGTGTGTGTGTGTGTCAGTGTGTGTGTGTAAGCGCATGTATGTCAGTGTGTGTGTGTATGTCAGTGTGTGTGTATGTCAGTGTGTGTGTGTCAGTGTGTGTGTGTCAGTGTGTGTGTTAGCGCATGAGCAACTGGGAGCATAGCAGCTTTCGTTTATGCAGTTCTCCTGGTTATATTGGCCTCCTTCACACTAAAAACGTAAATAAATAAATAAGCCTGGACTCAAGAGTGTCTAAACGTGTAACTAAGTCGGTATAAATATTTTGACCAGAATTGATCTATTTTGAGACGCTAAATGAGGTATAGCATGAGCATGTTTACATACACATCTGTGAGGGCTACACCAGAGCCATAGACACATTATCGTGCCATTACGGGGAAGCGGAAGTTGGCTGGATAACAATATTAACTTGTGTTTATAATCTCAATGGTATTTTGGGTCAGCAAGGCATAGGGCCACATGAAATGACACAGCGGGCCGCAGTTGGCTCTCGGGCCTTAGTTTGGATATGACAGGTCTGAGGTCAGTAATGATCCAGGACATGTATGAATATTTATATAGACATGTGGACTAATGGCTCTCATGTGTTCAAACAGACTGTTGTGATTTAGGGCTATACACAGAATTATATGCGTTACACAACTGAGTTATAGCGTTACACAACTGAGTTACTGCGTTACACAACTGAGTCACTGCCACATTATGACAGACTTGTTTTCATCTTGTCTGGAAACACCGTCTGGAGAATGCTTCAGCTTTTTGCTTTTACAGCTCGAGATTAGGGTTTTTGTTTGATCAGTTTTTGAGTTAGTGGAGTTGGACCAGTGCGCCAAGCGAGACTTTTCTGTTCATTACTTCCTCACATTTTTCAAGCACAAACGAACTTAAGAAAAAGTTAAGATTACAAGAAAAAAAACGTGTTCAATCTATTGTAGCAGTGCTTCAGAACGTCTGCATGAACCAACCACACATCTCTATCACGTGGTCATATCTGCAGGTGAAAGCCAGATCCTGTCAGACCTCTGAAGCTAAGCAGGTCAGGGCCTGGTTAGCACTGTGATGGGAGACCTCTGGGAGCAGCAGGTGCCACAGTGGGGCGGCTGCGGCTGTAAAGTGCCAAACTGTGGTTGTGTCCTTAGGCAAGACACTTCCCCCACATTAGAATGAGTCTGGTGTGTGTGTGAATGGTTAGTGGTGGTGGGAGGGGCTTCTGTCAGTGTTTGGAGAGAGAGAATAATGACGTGAGACGTGTCCAAAAAAGCGCTGTATAAAAGTGATGCATTATTATGATTACAAATCCAAAGGAGAGCCAATATAAGAACATACATTAAAGCTTGTGAACCTAAGTTAAAAGAGTGTAGAGTAGAGTTTACCCTTCTGAGAGCTCAGCACGCTCCTCTGTGCGTTCCAGCTCACTCTCAACGATGACCAGCTTACGTGCGACCTGGATCCCAAAACAAGAGCACGTTTAGAAGGAGAGTGAGGATGAGGATGAGGAGATGAAGGTGACTCGCCTCCTCGTATTTGCGGTCGGCCTCCTCAGCGATGTGCTTGGCCTCTTTGAGCTGGATCTCCTGGATCTCCATCTTCTCCTCGTCCTTCATGGCCCTGTTCTCAATGACCTTCATGCCTCTGGAAAGGACAGCACCAGGTTAGCACGCGGCCCGTGGCTCGGCCCGTGGTTCGGCCCGTGGTTCGGCCCGTGGCTCGGCCCGTGGCTCGGCCCGTGGCTCGGCCCGTGGCTCGGCCCGTGGCTCGGCCCGTGGCTCGGCCCGTGGCTCGGCCCGTGGCTCGGCCCGTGGCTCGGCCCGTGGCTCGGCCCGTGGCTCGTGGTACAAACGGGGACGGAACATATTTAGTATAAACACAGAGGTAGATTTTACAGCTGGGGTCTTGTAAAAATACACATTTTTGGACAAATTAGAACATTCCATCTTCTTTTGTACTTTTAAGAATGAGCATTGAGTCAATATTTGATATTGGTCCTCTCTTTTTCACTCTTCTGTCTAAAAAAGTTCAGCTAAAATATATCGTTTTGAGAGTGAGAAACTAGATCTTTATCATAGTTTATTTTATTATGGTTTGAGAGAACACCATTTAAACACTGAAATTCGCCTTTTTTTGGCAATTTAAGTTAATCAAAATGACAAGTAATGGTTCACTTGCAAAAAACAAAACGTACGGTACAGGGTTAAGTAAAATTGAATGAAAAACAGATTGCTATAGATTCTGTAAATACTGCATTTTCTCATCCACAGATCGATTAATAATGTCTAGTGCTGGATGAACACTACAAGATATCTTTGCCTCGTCGTCACAGTCATTTCAAAGTCTCGCTGAATCACGGAAACAAAACCAGCTGGAGAAAAAGATACGTATACAATCCAGAGAAAGTGCCCGAATGCCCGGAGGCCGTGAAACCCATTAACATTAGGAGACTATATTTCCCTGAATTATCCTCACATCACTAACTCCCAAACGCCGCCCTAAAGCCAAAAAGGCAACGCTTGTTCCTCGCACAAAGTGATGTCCACACAGCGGTCCCATTGATCCGCGGTGGTCTGGTGCTGGTGCTGGGGGGGCTAGGGTTACACACACACACACAGACACACACAGACACACACAGAAGGCCACTATGGACCCACCTCTCGCTCTCATCTGCAGCCTTCTCAGCCTCCTCCAGCTTTGCCAGAGCGGTGGCGAGACGCTCCTGTGCGCGGTCCAACTCCTCCTCCACCAGCTGGATGCGTCTGTTTAGGGAGGCCACGTCGCTCTCAGCCTGTGGGAGAGGACTCAGACTCAGTACAGACCGGGGTTAGAACACGCACTACAGACTGCAGAAGGAAAGGAAAAGAAAGGGGGACGGTGCGGGGATGTTTTGACGCTCCCAGAACCAAACCTGCGACCGATGCAAACCTGCGTCATGTCACAACAAATAATGTCAATGTGGGTTTGAAGGAAATGTTTGGGCCGTTGGTCGTCGGTCAATCTGTGGTTTCTTGGTCGAACAAAAGGAGCAATGAGCAGACTAATTATCTCAACTGAATTACAGGGATTTCTACGGGAAAAACAAAAGTCTCTCTGCACAATACTGTATTCATACTACTGCTTTTGAGGGCATTTATATATGATTTTGGGAGACAACTTTTAGTCTACAGCGTCGGATTGACTGGGCCTGCATTTAGTCCAGTGCTTTTCAACTATCGGGCCTTGAGATGTCTGCTGTATCTTTGGAAATGATCCCCACTTTGGTCAAAAGATTAAGACTTTTTTCATTCTCTATATGAAACACTTTGATGAGAACTTTGCCTTGTCATTTCAGCCGGTGGTGTGACATGTGATTGTAAAAAAAAAAGGTGTGCCACGGCTCAGAAATGTTGTAATTAAAATCCTAACCTCAATATGACTCCAACAGAAAATCAATCGGCTCAGATTTTTTATTATTATTGATATTTGGTCCCGGGAATGAGCCTCTTGTTTTGGTACTAGCTTTAGTGTTGACTAATTGGCTTTTCCCATTGGCCAAAAAGGCATAATTCATACACTGCAAAAAATGATACGATATTAGGCAATAAATGCATGAATTAAGCGTTTTTCCACTTAATCTGAGCACATTCTGACAGTGTTAAAACAAGATTCAACAATGGGAATACAAAAGCTTGTCATTTTTAAAACAAAATTCTTTCACTTGAAACAAATCTTGTTTTAAAGCAGACAAAATGTGCTCTAATGCAGATACATTTTGTCCATTTTTAGCTATTCTTTTTACTTATTTTTCCAACACATTTTGCCGTGGACTTCCCCCAAATGATAAATTTGAAGTGTAGCGACTAGAACCTGCTACACAAAGAGTAGTGTGTCACTCCGCAGCTTGTTAACATTGTGTGAACACTGGACCAAAGTGCAAATCGCTGATAATCTGTCACAGCAGCTGGCAACCCGCCTGCGTGAATGATTATTAAATCTCAAAAGGAGGGGTGTGTTCAAGGCCAGATTTATTTGTCCTTCCTCGTGCATATCTACACAAGAATCTCTCATTGTTTGTCCTTATAAGGGCAGCAGAAGCACATGCACCTCGGATATGTACCGACTTCCTTCTTCCCCCACATACTATGACAAGTGCTTTTCAACCAGTGGGCCGCGGCACGTTGGTGTGCCTTTAGATGTTTATGAGTGTGACTTAATGATATTAATAATCCAATATCACCTGCTTAGTCAAAATCATCTGAAACTATAATTATTTTTTTGTATTTTTCTATATTCACTACACAATGACTTTGCTTTGTTAAAAAGTACACAGGAGGGTTTTCCCACATTTTAGGAAAGAACCGCCCTCTCCACTTTTTGATCAAAACAGCGGGTATAACCAGAATGATTGACAGTTGGGAGGATCAAAGTCTTGATAATCCACCCGGAAGTAGAAAATCCTCCTTTAAACCTCTGATAAAGACTGTAGAGTTTCAATGTTGTATCAGTCTCAGCTGGAGATGTGCCACGTGATTGTTCTCAATGACAAAGCTTTGCCACGACTCCAAAAAAAGGTTGGGGACCACTGCTCTGCGTGACTCTCTCCCAGAGAACAGCCAAAGCAGGTGAATCAACCCAACAAAGAGTTAAAGCCAAGTTACGCACGAACCAAGAGTGGATACGCACGAACCAAGAGTGGATACGCACGAACCAAGAGTGGATACGCACGAACCAAGAGTGGATACGCACGAACCAAGAGTGGATACGCACTGATTGAATGTCACACAAACGGCCTGATGCTGCCAATTACACACACGCATCAAAACTGAGGCTAAAAAGTGAAGTTTAGGAGCAAGGCGCTGTCTGTGAAGGGGCCACGGAGACACAGGACCAGATAAAGTACATTTGTGCTCAGCTGGTTCCTGGTGTGCGGCTGTGTTCGCACCATGAGCAGCACACCAGGACCATGCTTACTTGTTCCTTGGCTTTCCTCTCCTGCAGCAGCTCCTTCTGGATTTTCTCGGCTCTCTCCTCTGCGCAGTCTGCTTGGTCTTGTAACGATTTGATTTTTCGCTTCACTGCGTCCAACGACGAAACTCCAGCCATGGTTTAATCTGACTATGAACAACAGGAAGAAGCCGCAAAAATGGCTCTAAAACTATCTGCAAAAAACAGGCTCCAGCTCAATGTTTTTGGGGAAATGACAAGGCGCAAGATGTCCGTGCAGCAGCCAGTGTTTAAGGCTGCAGGAGGCGAGGAGCACATTTCATCCAGGAAGTGGCACCAAAGGAGACCGCAGACCTGCCGCAAACCGGTTCTGGCGCAATGCAAGTGCGCAACGGACGTGAGAGACGAGAACGTGCTCGAGAATAAAAGTGTCACATCGAATTAAGTTCAGAATGTTCGACTATTTAGTTCAGAAACACAGCCTTATAATCAACATCCACAGAGATGAGCTGAGGGAGCAGCGGAGCGACGGCGACCTCTGCTGTCTGCTGTGGGTATTACAACAGATGATCAGAACCTGTGTCTGCGGTGGGATAATACAGTATAATGCACTTTATTATTAATCTTAATCTATTGTTTTAGTCTGTGAATAATCAACTGTAACTGTAGAGAAAAACTCTAATTAAACTGCAGAAAAAATAAAATAATCTGCTAGTTTTATGGAGCGATTTTTGGAAAATTCACATGGCGTTATTCATTTATTTGGTGGTGAAAAACTACTACTGTAGCCCCAGCTGCCCTGGGGCAGACAGACATAAGGAGAAGTCTTAACTGTGCCATCCTCCCTGTTGGACACCACCAACTATTCTTACAGGCAATGTGTGTGAAGTGTTTTGCCTAAGGACACAACAGTTTGGCACTTTGCAACTGCAGCCGGTGTTCTCAGAGGTCTCCCATCACATGCTGACCAGGCCCTGTCTTGCTTAGCTTCTGTAATCTGGTAGGTGGCACCGTACCAAAAGAGAACTTTATGTAAAATTAGAGAAAGTAAAAATTTTCATTTATTGAACCAATTTTATCAGGTGTTGGCAGTGTGCCATCAAACACAAATATAAAGTATCATGAAGCGTTGTTTGTTGTTTATTGTCCTTATAACATAAATATGAAAGAAGTATTTATTATGGATGAGCCAGGACCTCTCCAGAAGCAACAGTTGGACTCATGACCTTGACCAAAACTCCGCGGTCTGCCTTGAGATCTTTAAATACCTCTGCCTAAATTCTTCACATACTTATAGCTTATATATTATTATTGTGGCCGTTAGATGGGTTTCCTTTTCCCCTTTTTCTTCCTTTTTTCCTTGCGGTGTAGGAAGGAGCTCGCTGCAGATGTGAGCCCGTCTTGACCATATAAAGCAGTGAGCTATATTTATCCAGTCTGCCTTTGCGTGCGCGTCTGAGGCCGTGCGTAACTCCTTCATACAGTCTGGGATTATCAACACCCTCTACATTTCAATTGGCCCGATATAGCCTCTTGGTCACAATTTGATATGTTTAAAGGTAATTTGATTCTCACAGTCGGGGCTATTTATGGCTGCATAAAAGTGGCCAAACTTCTTAAACGTCACATGAAGTTTAGGGTCATGTGCTTTAATTTATGTGCGTGCCATGCAGTGGAGAAAAGAAATGGAAAGTTGAAAGTTGTGCGTAAAGTAAAAATGGCGTCTAAAGTTGTGGGCCTTAATAAAGTATTTTACATCGGAGGCTTTTTACTCTTCGTTACTGAATAGATCAGCTTTACGTGCTACTATTTTATTTATTTTTTTTACTTTAAAACATTGGTATTGTGGGCAATAGATAATTGTAGTAGATAATGTAGATTTAGTTAATCAAATCTTAAAATCAGAGTGGGCATATTTTAACTACTTTACTCGAGAATACATGTTTTATCTTCATATGTGCTTTCACTTATGTTTACAAAAGTACGTGGTCCACTTTGGCAGAGAAAGGGGAGCGTGAATGGGGTACACAGGGACAGCAGTCGGACTTTAAATACTCACATCTGCGGCTTTCTTCTCTGCCAGCTCAAGTTTCTCCTGCGCGTCCTTAAGCGCCTCGGAGTACTTGTCCAGCTCATCCTCTGTTCCCTTGAGCTTCTTCTGCAGAGCTACAAGGTCATCCTCCAGCTACGGCGGCCGGGAGGTGGTCGTGCGCGCAGGTGAAGGAGGCAGAAAGGTGCGAGGAAGAGAGAGAGGTGCGTGGGGAAGATGCATCAGGGCGTGGACCGCGGACGGGCGCACGGCAGGACAGGGCAGAAAAAGAGGAAAGAGAGAAAAGGACAGGTTTAGTTCATGCACTTTTGGAGAGATACCTTCGTGGCCACTTCCTCAGCAGCCAATAGTTTCTCCTCCGCCGTTTGGAACTCCTCAAAAACTTTGTCCCGTTCGTCTTCAGTCGCGCGTAATTTCTTTTCCATCTCTCTGATCTCATCCTCTAACTAAACATGCAAGTGAGACAGCGGTGATACAGTTAGAAGTCATAAAGATTACTCTCATTCATCATTCACTCCATGCAAAAGTATGTCACACATCAGAATGTTTGAATATTCCTGGATAAAATGGTATATCCCATAGTGTTGTGGAGGTAATTCCAATTGTGTCCGACCTGTTTGCTCCTGTCCTCCGCTGCTTTCTTGTCTGACTCAGCCTGCTCTGCTCTGTCCAAGGCGTTTTCCTTGTCGAGCTTGAGCATCTGCATCTTCTTCTTGATGGCGTCCATGGCTGCTTACTGGGAGGGCACCAAAGACAGTGAGACAAGAGGGAAGAAGTTCAGGAGGAGGACCGGTGGTGCCTGTGCTGAGCTGAACGCAAAGCTGGAGTGCGGGCTCTGCCTCTCTGCGCTCTGTCAAATATGAAGTTTGAAGAAGGGGGAGCTATCGGATTCCTTTGGCTGCGCGAGACTTTTTTGGGAGTGGGCGTCGTGGGTCCAGGGGAGGTGCGCGCTCCATGGCTCCGGGCGTCATCCACGGGGTTCAGAAGTGGACACGCCCTCATTATGGGACATGGGCATTTGAGAAACACTGGCCATACCTGCAGGAGAAAAGCCAGATCCAGTCAGAGCTTTGAAGCTATATAAGCAGGGCAGGGCCTGGTTAGTACTGTGATGGGAGACCTCTAAGAGCAGGTGCCACAGTGGGGCGGCTGCGGCTGTAAAGTGATAAACTGTGGTTGTGTCCTTAGGCAAGACACTTCCCCCACATTAGAATGAGTATGTTTGTGAGTGTGAGTTTGTTTGTGTGTGTGTGTGTGTGTGTGTGTGTGTGTGTGTGTGTGTTGCTAGTGCGTCTTCAGGAATGAAAGGAGCGAGCCTGGAGCAGATAGAGGATCTCATATCCTTCCTGTAAACTGTTTATGTGGCATTTGACCGCGACAGGAGCTGCAGCCACAGGAGCTGCAGACACAGGAGCTGCAGCCACAGGAGCAGCAGACACAGGAGCTGCAGACACAGGAGCTGCAGACACAGGAGCTGCAGACACAGGAGCAGCAGACACAGGAGCTGCAGACACAGGAGCTGCAGACACAGGAGCAGCAGACACAGGAGCTGCAGACACAGGAGCTGCAGCCACAGGAGCTGCAGACACAGGAGCTGCAGACACAGGAGCAGCAGACACAGGAGCTGCAGACACAGGAGCTGCAGACACAGGAGCAGCAGACACAGGAGCTGCAGACACAGGAGCTGCAGCCACAGGAGCTGCAGACACAGGAGCTGCAGCCACAGGAGCTGCAGACACAGGAGCTTCAGACACAGGAGCAGCAGACACAGGAGCTGCAGACACAGGAGCTGCAGACACAGGAGCTGCAGATACAGGAGCAGCTGCAGACACAGGAGCAGCAGACACAGGAGCCCCCTCAGCAGCGCGCCTCCTCAAAGAACTCAAGAATACATTTAAGATCAAGATTAAAAAGAGATCCTTTATTCGTCCCACTGTGGGGAAATGTCAGTGTTGTATCACCGGTTACAGAACAGTAGGAATGAGGAGCACACAGCACAAGATAAATAACTTTATACCAAAATAAAATACAATCTCAAACTGTGGCAAAATAAGGAACCAATATCTCAATATGATATAGTTTTGTGAAAATCTAGGTCTGTTTTAGCGCCATAAAAATGCTTTGTCAATTAGTAAGTAAGTAATTAGTAAGTAATCTTTATTTATATACAACCTTTTCACTGCACATCGGAGTCTCAAAGCGGTTTACAATTGTTATTTTTTGGGAGTGGGGGTGCCAGTACAGGAGGCACATGCCAGACCTATTGTACATATTTTTAGTGGTAGGGGAAACCGGAGCACCCGGAGGAAACCTACGCAGACACGGGGAGAACATGCAAACTCCACTCAGAAAGGCCCTGGTCCAACCGGGATTTGAACCCAGGACCTTCTTGCTGAGAGGCGAGAGTGCTATCCACTCAGCCACCGTGCCGAGTGGATAGCACTCGGCACGGTGGTTACAATAACATGTTTTGTTATTTGTCAATAACAAAACATGTTCAAGATTGTAGCTTGACGAATACAAATTTTTGACACACTTTCAAAACAAATTCTTCACGTTTTGCCAATTTGTTTGTTTGTGTATTGTAAACAAAGAACTTTATTGACACGTATGGACAACGGTCATCCGCCTCTTATGGACCGATGGCTCAATGTGTTTTTAATCAGTGCATTTCTTGAGTTTGAGCGGTGTAATTCTCTGATCTGTATTGCCGTATTCCATGGTAACTGCTGCTGTCTTTTAGGGCTATACGAAAATGAAAGCAAAATTGTGGCTATTGTTGTCATTGATGAAAACACCAGCAACTGTCACACACATGCAGAGAGACGATTGGCCGTTCAAGAGTTGGACCAAAGCCTGGGGGCTCTGTGTGCAGCTGCCCAGGGTCCTGTGTGTTTGTGTCTGTGCTGGAGGAGGACCATGAGACCTGGGGATCGTTGGACCTTCACCTTCACAGTCCCCCGGTCACAGCAGAACAGTTTTATCGATGGCGGGTTGACAGGTCCTGAAGCAGCTAACCCCAGATAACCCACCTGTAAGCCAGATATTTTTACTTACTACTAATGTTGCGGTTACTTTCTGCCTGATGAGTAGTCTGCATGTGTTGCCAAAATTATTATAGCTTATTATTAATCTTTTCATGTATGTTTCTTTGTTTGTTTCATAGGATAAGTTAATCATGACCACACGTTTTACATGGCACCAAAAATGTGAATGGTATTTTGTGATTAAGGTTTTATCATGTGTGTGTGTGTGTGTGTGTGTGTGTGTGTGTGTGTGTGTGTGTGTGTGAGGATGTGCAGCCGTATAAGGTGAATGGGAGATTATAAATTCTCATTTTTGAGCTTTGACAGGAGGAAAAAAGAACAAACCCTTTGTGTGTGTGTTTCTTGTGGGCGTTAGTCTGTCACTCCACACAGAGATGGGAGGGGCCAGTACAGGAGGCACAGACCATGTTTTTAGTGGTAGGGGAAACCGGAGCACCCAGAGGAAACCTACACAGACACAGAGAGAACATGCAAACTCCACTCAGAAAAGCTCTGGTCCGACCGGGATTGGAACCCAGGACCTTCTTACTGAGAAGCGAGAGTGCTAACCACTCAGCCACCGTACTGCGCTATAGTTTAATATTACAGCAATTATAATAAGCAATTGCTGTAAAATTAATAGCTAAAAAAACCCAACATTTAATAGAATAAAATAAAATAAAATAAATACATAAATAAATGAATAAATAAAAACATTAAAATATAGATTCAAAGTATTGTCATTACCACAGACAGCGGATATTTCTTTCCCCAAATACCTCTGTGTCACTTCTCTATATGCTCACTCTAGTGCGTCACTTTTACTCTTCCCCACAAATGCAGCACACCCTGAGTTTCTGACATACTGCTCCAGGACGGCTCCAGGACTGACCCAGGACGGCTCCAGGACGGCTCCAGGACTGACCCAGGACTGACCCAGGACTGACCCAGGACTGACCCAGGACGGCTCCAGGACTGATCCAGGACTGACCCAGGACTGACCCAGGACGGCTCCAGGACTGCTCCAGGACTGACCCAGGACTGACCCAGGACGGCTCCAGGACGGCTCCAGGACTGCTCCAGGACTGACCCAGGACTGATCCAGGACTGACCCAGGACGGCTCCAGGACTTCTCCAGGACTGACCCAGGACTGACCCAGGACGGCTCCAGGACTGATCCAGGACTGACCCAGGACTGACCCAGGACGGCTCCAGGACTGCTCCAGGACTGACCCAGGACTGACCCAGGACGGCTCCAGGACGGCTCCAGGACTGCTCCAGGACTGATCCAGGACTGACCCAGGACTGACCCAGGACGGCTCCAGGACTGCTCCAGGACTGACCCAGGACTGACCCAGGACGGCTCCAGGACGGCTCCAGGACTGCTCCAGGACTGACCCAGGACTGATCCAGGACTGACCCAGGACGGCTCCAGGACTTCTCCAGGACTGACCCAGGACTGACCCAGGACGGCTCCAGGACGGCTCCAGGACTGCTCCAGGACTGACCCAGGACTGACCCAGGACGGCTCCAGGACGGCTCCAGGACTGACCCAGGACGGCTCCAGGACTGACCCAGGACGGCTCCAGGACTGCTCCAGGACTGACCCAGGACGGCTCCAGGACTGACCCAGGACTGCTCCAGGACTGACCCAGGACGGCTCCAGGACTGACCCAGGACGGCTCCAGGAGTGTCCTTGGCCCTGTGTCTCTCCACCTGCCTCCAAACGTGCCTAACTCAGAACAAGCCTCAGATCATGCACATAGTCTCCATGTGAGAACGTAGAATTAGCCCCTAAGCTCCGCCGTCCAACCACAAAGGTGTCTCTAATGTGTTAAGATGTCAGATTATGAACTCTGGTTGTGCTCATACGGCTTATTGCAATCACGAAGCAGACAAGAGCAGCACTCAGCTTCCAAGTGTCCCCTCTCAAAAGATTCACAGGGCTATTTATAAGTTTGCCTTCACTCCATGCACCTGGCCTGACTGTAAGCGGAGCCAGCCATTGGATATCGGCCCCTCTGTAGTACAACCGGCTCATAAACCAGCTTGATAACGCCACGCAGCATAATTCATACTGTAATATTTGTTGTATACTGTATGTGTTTGAGCTCATATATAACTTGAGAGGGTGTGAGTGGGAAGCAACTCCACATGGAAAACAGTGATCTTATATTTGAGCATATTCGGACTGATTCTTAAAGCAAGGTTTGCCAATGGGACAAGCAGAATGAACAGAAACTGAAAAACAGTTGGCTTTATCAAACAAAAATGGCGTCATTCCATTGGAGAATCTTGTCTGTTAAGGTACGTAGAAAATGGACATTTAATAACAATAACGAGATTTGGGGGCTGTAAAACTCATTTTGAAACTTGAGTGTCTGGACTGAACTTCTGTTATCAGTTAAATAAGTATTGGAAAAGAGCATGGTTCATTAAATTAAGGCCCTTTAATGGTGACTTCACATGAAAATCTTGCATATTGCTACTTTAAAGGAGCTATACCCGTTTCTGTAAGGTCTGAATGTTTAGCCCCGCCCCCAACTCGCTCAATGGCTTCTCATGTCCCCTACGCTCTCCTCCCACGGAGCCATCTAGTTTTATTTGTGATCTGATACGTATGCTAACATTAGCATTAGCACAACTTAAGCTGTACAACAATCACTGATGAAATGGTACAAAAGCAACGCACTGTAAATACAATATATAACTGAAAGATTCCCGCTAGTTTCACGCCCGAATGTAGTCCGAGCGTCGACAGTCTGAGCGTAGATGGTCCGAGCGCAGATAGTCCCAGCGTAGATAGTCCGAGCGTAGATAGTCCGAGCGCAGATAGTCCGAGCGTAGATAGTCCGAGCGCAGATAGTCCGAGCGTAGATAGTCCGAGCGTAGATAGTCAGAGCGTAGATGGTCCGAGCGTAGATAGTCCGAGCGTAGATAGTCCGAGCCAGATAGTCCGAGCGTAGATAGTCCGAGCGTAGATAGTCCGAGCGTAGATAGTCCGAGCGTAGATAGTCCGAGCGTAGATAGTCAGAGCGTAGATGGTCCGAGCGTAGATGGTCCGAGCGTAGATAGTCCGAGCACAGATAGTCCGAGCGTAGATAGTCCGAGCGTAGATAGTCCTAGCGTAGATAGTCCGAGCGCAGATAGTCCGAGCGTAGATAGTCCGAGCGTAGATAGTCCGAGCGTAGATAGTCCGAGCGTAGATAGTCCTAGCGTAGATAGTCCGAGCGTAGATAGTCCGAGCGTAGATAGTCAGAGCGTAGATAGTCCGAGCGTAGATAGTCCGAGCGTAGATAGTCCGAGCGTAGATAGTCCGAGCGTAGATAGTCCGAGCGTAGATAGTCCGAGCGTAGATAGTCAGATCGTAGATAGTCCGAGCGTAGATAGTCCGAGCGTAGATAGTCCGAGCGTAGATAGTCAGAGCGTAGATGGTCCGAGCGTAGATGGTCCGAGCGTAGATAGTCCAAGCGTAGATAGTCCGAGCGTAGATAGTCCGAGCGTAGATAGTCCGAGCGTAGATAGTCCGAGCGTAGATAGTCAGAGCGTAGATAGTCCGAGCGTAGATAGTCCGAGCGTAGATAGTCAGAGCGTAGATAGTCCCAGCGTAGATAGTCCGAGCGTAGATAGTCCCAGCGTAGATAGTCCCAGCGTAGATAGTCCAAGCGTAGATAGTCCGAGCGTAGATAGTCCGAGCGTAGATAGTCCGAGCGTAGATAGTCCGAGCGTAGATAGTCAGAGCGTAGATGGTCCGAGCGTAGATGGTCCGAGCGTTGATAGTCCGAGCACAGATAGTCCGAGCGTAGATAGTCAGAGCGTAGATGGTCCGAGCGTAGATAGTCCGAGCGTAGATAGTCCGAGCATAGATAGTCCGAGCGTAGATAGTCAGAGCATAGATAGTCCGTGCGTAGATGGTCCGAGCTTAGATGGTTCGAGCGTAGATAGTCCGAGCGTAGATAGTCCGAGCGTAGATAGTCCGAGCGTAGATAGTCCGAGCGTAGATAGTCCGAGCGTAGATAGTCCGAGCGTAGATAGTCCGAGCGTAGATAGTCCGAGCGTAGATAGCCCGAGCGTAGATAGTCCCAGCGTAGATAGTCCCAGCGTAGATAGTCCGAGCGTAGATAGTCCGAGCGTAGATAGTCCGAGCGTAGATAGTCAGAGCGTAGATGGTCCGAGCGTAGATGGTCCGAGCGTAGATAGTCCGAGCACAGATAGTCCGAGCGTAGATAGTCAGAGCGTAGATGGTCCGAGCGTAGATAGTCCGAGCGTAGATGGTCCGAGCGTAGATAGTCCGAGCGTAGATAGTCAGAGCGTAGATAGTCCGAGCGTAGATGGTCCGAGCTTAGATGGTCCGAGCGTAGATAGTCCGAGCGTAGATAGTCAGAGCGTAGATAGTCCGAGCGTAGATAGTCCGAGCGTAGATAGCCCGAGCGTAGATAGTCCCAGCGTAGATAGTCCCAGCGTAGATAGTCCGAGCGTAGATAGTCCGAGCGTAGATAGTCCGAGCGTAGATAGTCCCAGCGTAGATAGTCCGAGCGTAGATAGTCCGAGCGTAGATAGTCCGAGCGTAGATAGTCCGAGCGTAGATAGTCCGAGCGTAGATAGTCCGAGCGTAGATAGTCCGAGCGTAGATAGTCCGAGCGTAGATAGTCAGAGCGTAGATAGTCCGAGCGTAGATAGTCCGAGCGTAGATAGTCCGAGCGTAGATAGTCCGAGCGTAGATAGTCCGAGCGTAGATAGTCCGAGCGTAGATAGTCCGAGCGTAGATAGTCAGATCGTAGATAGTCCGAGCGTAGATAGTCCGAGCGTAGATAGTCCGAGCGTAGATAGTCAGAGCGTAGATAGTCCGAGCGTAGATGGTCAGAGCGTAGATAGTCCGAGCGTAGATAGTCCGAGCGTAGATAGTCCGAGCGTAGATAGTCCGAGCGTAGATAGTCAGAGCGTAGATAGTCAGAGCGTAGATAGTCCGAGCGTAGATAGTCCGAGCGTAGATAGTCAGAGCGTAGATAGTCCGAGCGTAGATGGTCAGAGCGTAGATAGTCCGAGCGTAGATAGTCCGAGCGTAGATGGTCAGAGCGTAGATAGTCCGAGCGTAGATAGTCCGAGGCGGTCCCGCAGGTCTCTCCCTCAGACCAGTCTGTCCAGAGGATACGATGTAAGTTTCAGATTGAAACTGTGTGTGCATGTGTGTGTGTGCCTGTGTGTGCTCAGTTACTAGCCTCAGAACCTAGTCAGATTGAAACTGTGTGTGTTCCCCGCTTGAAGTCTAAAGCACTATATGCGAGGAAATCTGACCTAGGTGTCAGACACAGTAACTTAATAAAAGTTCAGACAGACAGAAATAGTTCTAACAGTAGGGTTGTTAAATGTGGTTTAATGAACGTCAGATCAATCTCGTCTAAATCGCTTCTCATAAACGAACTTATTATAGACAAGGGCTTGGATCTGTTAGCGCTCTCGGAGACTTGGCTCCAACAGGACGAGTACGTTAGATTGAATGAGTGCACTCCTCCGACGCATGTTAACTACCAGAAAGCCAGAGCTACAGGTCGCGGCGGTGGTGTTGCGATTATATCACACACCAACTTGGTTCTTAGTCCCAAAACCAACAACGCTTTTCACTCGTTTGAAAACTTAACACTTTCAATCACCTGTCCTGGGTGGAGAAAACAAAAAGCAGTACTATTTATAGTTTTATACCGACCTCCTGGTCCTTACAGCGAGTTCCTAACAGAATTCTCTGACTTCATTTCAAACCTAGTTTTGGAATGGGAAAACATAGTTATAGCTGGAGACTTCAATATACATGTGGACGACAGCACTGACAGCTTAAACAAAGCTTTCAGCGCCGTACTAGATGGTGTTGGTTTTACTCAGAATGTCGAGGGACCTACTCACATTCATAACCACACCTTGGACCTTGTCCTGACCTACGGCTGTGATGTCTCCAATGTTGACATCCAGCGTCAAAGCTCGTTGCTGTCTGACCATTTCTTGATCACGTTTGATCTCGCTTTGGAGGACTTTCCTGTCCCGCAAGATAAAACCATAATGAAAAGAACCTTAAATGATAAAATCTATCACAAGGTTCAAAGAACTAATACAGCCTATGTTGAATACTGCTGCAGGTGAACCTGTTCACAGCAGCTGCAGTCCCTCAGTCATCGACCAAACGGTGGGCAACACTATGGAGTCTTTAAAATCTGCATTAAATGCAGCAGCTCCTTTAAAACAGAAAACCATTAGGATTAGATCATCGTCGCCCTGGTACAGTGTTCAACTCCACACTTTAAAACAGGACGTCAGAAAATTGGAGAGGCTATATCGCCACTCCCACTCGGAGCCTGTCCACAGGGAGTGGAAAGCAGGTCTCCGAAACTACAAGAAGGCCCTTCGCGGGGCTCGAACTCAATACTATTCAACTTTAATAGAAGCGAATAAAAACAACAGTAGATTTTTGTTTGGTACCGTCGCTAAACTCACAAACTGCCATAGCGCAATCGAGCCTAAAATTCCAAGCTCACTGAGCAGTGTCGACTTTCTCCACTTCTTTAATAATAAAATTACATCCATCCGTGACAAGCTGGAGGAGGTTGCTCCTGCTGTTAGTGGTGGACAGGTTGAAGCGGCATACGTGACTTCCCACTTAGACTCTTCAGTGGGCCTTAATAAATTCATGGCTGTGAGCCAAGCAGAGGTGATCTCTGTGGTCACATCCTCAAAAGCCTCAACTTGCATGTTAGACTCAGTCCCGACATGGCTCTTCAAAGACATACTTCCTTTGATAATTGAGCCTATCGTAAATATAATAAACGCATCCATACAATGTGGCTATGTCCCACAAGCTTTTAAAACCGCGGTAATCAAACCCCTTCTGAAGAAAACAAACCTGGACCCAGAAATACTTACAAACTACAGACCGATCTCGAACCTCACTTTTATATCTAAAATCCTGGAAAAACTTATAGCTGAGCAGCTCCGCTGCCACCTGCAGGAAAATGATATG